TATAAATATATAATTTATATAAAAATTTATCATGGTGTGGTTATTAAATATAATTGAGATAAACAAAATTTAATTTGAAGATATATTTTTTCTGTTTTTGCGAATTTTTATGATTTTCAGGTTTTGGTTAGTTTTTGAAGTCAGCTTAGAAAAATTCTAAGAATTCAAAACAAAATAAAAAAAAAAAATTTATACTAGATTGTATAAGATTTGTGTGGGGGAATTTAATTTTTCTTTACATTATATTTTTTCTGAAGATTTAATCTGCGAGAGAATCAATCTAGCTTTTCAAGCGTTTTTTAATGATAACATCAAAAACCAATACTTATAGCGAGTTTGAAAAAGCAATGCTCATTTGGTTTTAAATCAAATGCTCTGTTGGATATCTCGTAACTGGCAAGAGATTGGAACCTTTCTCTCTAGAAACCGCTTCAATGATACGTTGTTGTTATTCAAAAAAAAATGTCGACTAATCTAGTTCGACTCGCCATTTTCATATTTTTTGCGACTGCATTTGAATCGGTTTAACAACGTTTACCTTGAGCGTGTTGTGTTTTATTAAGTTATTGTGAAAATTGTGTTCGTGTTAGCCACAAAGCTATTGTTTTATCGTTAATCCAGGTTATATTTTACCATTGTTTACCGTTCGAAAAAGGATCCTAAATGCCAACATGCGTTTTTTAAAATAACAGAAAACTGATTGCATTTTATTTCCAACTGTGTTGTTGATTAGTTTATGATATCCAAAAACCAACCAACCAAAACGGGATGTATCATGTGTCATCTGCCTAATGAACTATTTTTCAGTTCCTGGGCAAATTTTTATTAAAAATGAATGAAATCTTAATCGATGACCTATTGACATTAATCTCACCCTTGTAGTAACTGTAGAAAGTGGTATCTCCAGTCTATCTATCTATGCATATAAATATATGAGATCATATGTTGACGTACCCTTTATAAAAGATACTAAATAGGTGTTAATGCTGATTCTGATTTATTATAGGGTGATCATTATTCAGCATGTCATGCATCAAGTACTCTGCCAGGTATCCTTTATTTTACCAACTTTGTGCATTATGGATTTTTTTCCTTAGATTCCTAGTTTTTCTCTTTGAATCTGTTTATTGTCTTGTAAATATGAGATTTTTTTCAATTTCTTCAGCTTTGCCTCCTCAATGTCCAACTGTCTTTTTCGCATTTTTTCAAGAGATTTTGCACGAACAAGCATTTCTTTTTTGTCTCCATTAATCATTTTGCCTTTAGGAATGTCCAATTTCTGGTTCTGCAATGAGTAGAGCAATTTCATCTTCTTCGAAGTTTTATGTTTTTCTTTAATGAAAGACATACAGTTTAAAAATATCATTATCATTTTTTATTTTCAATTTTGTATTTCGAAATTGTTTAATTCATTCCTTATATTCATCCAGAAGTAATAAAGTACTCTTGTGTGGCCAAAACAACATTTTATCCTCAGTTGAATAGATCTCTGCTTCTATCCTTTAAATACCAAATTCAGCAAATATTTGTGAAGTAGCGTTTACATGTATGTAGAAGCATCATAATATTTCATCGCTGCAATTGATTCTCAACAGTTGTGCACGGTTGAACAAGCCCATTCATTGAAGACCACTTAACAAAGTGGATAAAAATTATTTTTATCTTTTAGTTAACGGAACAACTCCTGTTGGAGACATATTGCAAACGCAATGATTAGTCACAACATTTTTTTTACTTTTGACAGTTGATTGCGATTTGATATTCCATTTCATATCTACTTATCTTATATGTTGGTGGAACCCCTTACCTTGCTCCTCACCCACGGGATTTGGGAAAGCAGTTCAGTTGTGAGTGTGAAACGTGTAGATTTATACTCATATTGCCTGACAATTCCGTAAACCTAAGCCTCTTACTAAGTCATCAAGTTCAAGTTCTGATTATAAATATAACTAAATAAATAAGAACTAACTACCTGCTACTATATATACCGAAAAATGACAATAAAACCTTAATTGATGGTGTTGTGAGAATTTAAGTTTAATAATGAAGAGGTATTTAATTCTAATTGATCGTTAAGCAATACATTTGAATGTCTCATTTTGTTAATCTCCATGGCTTCCAATAAATTTAATTGTTTACTTTTTCTGGCTGTATGTAAAATATCAAAATTCTCGTCAAAAATGTCCTTTTCCGTGTTTAAGTGTATAGCATAATTAGAATCTAGACTATTGTTTTTAAACGCTTTTCTATATTCGTTAATGCGTTTCTGGAAGCATCTACATGTTTGCCCAATATAAATGTTAGGACCAGATCCGCATTTCGCCCTGTAGACACCTGATTTTTGAAATTTTGGACACTTCTTTTTATTGTTTTTTTAAAAAATTTCCTATTGTGTTGTTAGTTATGAAAGCTATTTTTAAACCGCATTTTGATAAATGTTTTGAAACTTTTTCGTTGGGTTTTCCTATGTATGTAATGGTTTTAAATTATTCGTGTTCTATATTAGGTTTCAGATAAATAGAGTTTACTAGTGTCTGGATTTGTTTTTTATTTATTATTATATCGATAATGGACGGATTGTAGCCGTTGTTCGGTGCAATTTGTTTAATGATATTAAGTTCTTTGTTGTAATTTTCTGTTGAGAGTGGCGTGTTAAGAAGTCTGTGTATACAAGAGTAAAATGCAGCCATTTTGTGTGTATAAGGGTGATTTAAGTTGTTATGTATGACTGTGTCCGTGTGTGAAGGTTTATGGTAAATGGAAAAGTGAATAGAAAAAGAATATAATTTCGACGGTTGTGGATTCGTAATTGTTAAAAAATACTTGTCTTCGTCACTACATAGTGTGGAGTTAGTAATTACATCCATAATATGTTATTTTCAGAAGCTATATATATATATATATATATATATATATATATATATATATATATATATATATATATATATATATATATATATATATATATATATATATATATATATATATATATATATATATATATATATATATATATATGTATATATATATATATATTAGTTGAGAGTTTATTATATTCGCTAATAGATGTTTGTTTAAATTAGAATCGTTAATTAATTGCTAATTCACACTCGATCCCTAAACAGTCTAATTCTCCATTAATGTTCGAGTGCTGTAAATTAAATTTTAATCCTTTTTCCAGAAATTCAATTTCATTTTCAGAAAATGTTGTGTCTGTTAAGTTTATGAACCTGCTGTAAAATTGGTGGTCGGTATTCTTTGTAATAACTGGCTTGCTGTTAGATATTTTTGTATTAGAAATTAATTTGCCTAACTTTAGTTTTTGTCTAAGAAACTTTTTATGAATGATAGATGAAATGTCTGTTCGAAGTCTATAATCAAATGTGTCCAATTCTAGGGGATTAAGTCTATGAGACAACTCAGAATGTATTACCTTTACATAAATGTTGTTTGTATCCCGTTTTCTGTACTCGTGTCTTCGTTCTTCGTTCATTCATTTCGTCTGGCCCGATATTTTACATACAGCCTCCAAAAGTAGAAAATTTAATTTATTGGAAGCCATGGAGAGTAACAAAATGAGACGTTCAAATGTATTGCTTAACGATAATTTAGATTTAAATACATCTCCATTATTAAACTTAAATTCTCACAACAACATTAATTAAGGGTTTGTTGTCATTTTTCGGTATATATAGTATAGTATATAGTAAATTCTTATTTATTTTGTTAAATGGATTTTCATCAAGTAAAAGCCACCTCAGTTCGATAAATATAACAGTGGTTGCTGAGAAACACTCCATATATAACTAAGGATATCTTCATATATTTCTTGCTCAGAGAAATTCTTGGAATCCTTTTTTAACTTGGTTGGATTCTCAGGCGTTGAGACGTCAGAGCCGGCTAGAGGTCCGGATATATATCCAAATAAATTAAAATTTTTCATTAAAAAAAAATTGTTAGTTAACACCAGCATGCAATTAGTAGGTATTCTACGCAAGCACTTAATTCAAAGAAGGATAAACGATTAGAATGATATCACAAAGTACCCTCTAGTAAACGATTTAACCTCATTCAATCACCTCATACAACAATTCTTATTAACGTTTTGCGGTAGAAACAAGAAAACTTTTTTCTTCTGTTAGTTATGGTTAGATTTTTTCACTAATTTCGAAACTGGAACTGCGTAGTTATAAAGTAGTTATTAGTCCATAATATTAATATTATTAGGTTTTATAATTAGCAATGCTTTGGCTAATTTTTATTTTTTAATAAAATTCTTAAGTGTTAATGTCGGAGGGGGACATTTAAAACGAAATTCATTAATAATTAAGGAACCAACTTCTAAACAATAATCAAACCCTCATAGTAAAAATTTAATATGCCCATTCTAATTTTTTTGAATTTCTAAGTGTTTAATATGCGTGTTCTACTTAAAAAATTAAAAATCTTGGTTAATATGAAAAATTTCAACATTTGGATTTGGATTTTGGATCATTGGCGACGGTATTGGCGACAAAAAAACTTCTTGGACCCTGTTTTTATATTAAAGCATAACTTTTATTTCTAAACGTTTAGCGATAACAAATCTCTAAGTACTGTGAATTGACGTACGGAACTAAAATTTAAGCGTTTAACAATCCAATTCCCAAAATAAATATGATCGAATAATTAAGTACCAAAAATGGTACACTTCTGAGACCCGGCATTACCTTTGAACATAATTGCAATTAAACAATAGCCAACGCAGGAAACACAAAGGAAAGCGTTGCACGTAAGTCGCCATTCCCAAAGCAATTTGCAATCCTTAACGGTTGTAAATTTATGCAGGATTTTAACAATAATAATATGATTTATGAGCGAACTGGCGTAAATTGTTGCTTTGCTTCTATTCTAATTTATTTTTTCGAGACGTGATTTCGCGTTTAGAAGTTGGTTCGGTCAATAATCAAGCAATAATCGATCCATAGCCTACTTATCATATGTGTGAATTTGTTTCTTAGGTACGTTTTGCTTAATGGCCTCCGCATTTTTGCTGTTCTCCTGGGGCATAGAGTCGCTGGTATACATCCCGTTTCAAACTTTTATGGACCAAAGGATTAAAATGATACCGGGTTTGTATTACAACAATGTATTTTTAATGCAACTACTACGTTATGTTTACCTAATTTCGACCGTGATTATGTCAAGGTAAAACTAAGGCACAATTAAAATTTAAATAAATAATATAATAACATTTAAAAACACTACCTTTTCCTCTAGATACCTTAATAATACTAGATCACAAAATAAATAAGAACCAACACTTCAGATTTTCACGAAGTTATATATATATATATATTCTCACATGACAATTGTCTCGACAACACCGTATATATATATATATATATATATATATATATATATATATATATATATATATATATATATATATATATATATATATATATATATATATATATATATATATATATATATATATATATATATATATATATATATATATATATATATATATATATATATATATATATATATATATATATATATATGATGACACTATATTCCGGGATATCATCCGTTCGCTCGTTGACCTCCGACTGGAATCCTGCATCCGACTGGAATCCTGCAAATCTTGCATCCGACTGGAATCCTGCAGACGTTTCGCCAAAATCTCACTTGGCATCTTCAATGCTCGCGCTCCGAAAACACTTCGAACACTCAGAGATTTTGGCGAAACGTCTGCAGGATTCCAGTCGGATGCAAGATTTGCAGGATTCCAGTCGGATGCAGGATTCCAGTCGGAGTTCAACGAGCGAACGGATGATATCCCGGAATATAGTGTCATCACATTTTTCCATCCGTGAATCAATACGTGAGAATATATATATATATATATATATATATATATATATATATATATATATATATATATATATATATATATATATATATATATATATATATATATATATATATAGAGGTATTTAAATCTAATTGATCGTTAAGCAATACACTTATTTGTAATAACTGGCATGCTGTTAGTTATTTTTGTATTAGAAATTAATTTGTCAAACTTTAGTTTTTGTCTTTTTATGTACAAATCTTATTTCCCAGTTTGGAGATAGATTTCACTTTCACTCGGAAACAGGTTAACCCATTGGTGAAACAAGATTTATTAGATTGCTTAATAGTATCTTGAGACCAAAATTATTTTGAATTTAATAGTTTAATGATTTGCATCTCTAAGGAAGGTTTGATTATGGGAAACCCACTTAGTCCTTTGTTAGCCGAGATTTCTATGGATAATTTGGAAAATATCATACTAGAACATTCCTTAAGTAAAAGTTTTCTATGGTGGTATAGATACGTGGATAATATCTTGGCTTGCTTTGTTGGAACGGACAGAAAATTGAATTCTTTTTAAATTACATTAACTCATTACATAATCGTATAAAATTCAAAACGCAAAACAAATTAGATTTTTCCAATTACCATAAACCTTCACACACGGACACAGTCATACATAACAGCTCAAATCACCCTTATACACACGAAATGGCTGCATTAAACTCTTTTATAAACAGACTTCTTAAAAAGGTTCAAAACATTTGTCAAAATGTGGTTTAAAAATAGCTTTTAAAACTAACAACACAATAGGAAAGCAAAATCTCAAAAATTAGATGTCTACAGGTTGAAATGCGGATCTTGTCCTAAAATTTATATTGCACAAATAGGTAGATCCTTTAAGAAACCCATTAAGGAACATAAAAGAGCGTTTAATTTAATTTAATTTAGATTCTAATTATGCTACACACTTAAATACAGAAAAACCATTTTTGACGACAATTTTGATATTTTACGTACAGCCACAAAGAGTAGAAAATTAAAATTATTGGAAGCCATTGAAATTTACAAAATGAGACATTCAAATATATTGCTTAAGGATTAATTAGATTTAAATACCTCTCCATTATTAAACTTAAATTATCACAACAACATTAATTATTGAACTGAGGTGGCTTTTACTTGATGAAAATCCATTTATCAAAATAAATAAGAACTAAAAGTTCAGATTTTCACGAAATTATATATATTTTGACATGACTATTGTTTCGACAACACCGTGTCTTTATCAAATGTTTGTTGTTGATTTTGTTGTCGAAACAATCGTCATGTAAAAATATATAATTTCGTGAAAATCTGAACTTTTAATTCTTATTTATTTTGAACATTAATTAAGGTTTTTGTTGTCATTTTTCGGTATATTTAGTAGCAATTAGTTTGTAAATATTACACTTGACAAAGACACGGGGTTGTCGAAAATCTGAACTTTTAGTTCTTATTTATTTTGAAAGCAAATTAATAATAAAAATAATATACTCGTTGGAAGAGTTCATTCAGAACAACTGGTAGAACGGATGAATGATTGCTGAGGCAGGGAATAAGTGGTGTGAATGAAAGAAATTTGATATTGCGTATTATTGTGTACCGTTTCTGTAATGTATTTATGTATGTTTCTTTCTGACGATACGAGTTTCCCCTTTTTTGGGTTGTGAATTTGATTAAATAAATCAATACATTAATAAATAGTTTCTAATCCTTTAGAACTAATATGTAGCGACCATTATGGCCAATCAGTCCCTTAGATTTCAGAAGCGATTTGCTGCCACGTCAGCAACGAGATTGATCGATTACAATTGAAAACAGAAAATGTTGTTGTGGTTTTTGGTTTTCTTCATAGTTGGCTGTAAATTAATTAAGTAGATCGTTTATTTCGCTGTTCACTAAATACGAGGGTCATTCAATAAGTCAAATTTAAATGTTTTTGGTCTGTCCGCAGGTTTTCCAGCTTACGAATGGTGGTTACATCCTCCGGACGAGGTCTTAATGAAAGTTTACGTTTTCAACGTCACGAATTCCGAAAGGTTCCTAAACGGCACTGATAAAAAACTTCGAATCAAAGAAATCGGACCTTTAATATACAGGTAGGTAGTGGTCTTGTCTTTCGGAACGAATATACCCATAAAAGATACGAAAAATGGTTTCCTACAAAAGTTTTTTTAAAGATTTAAAATATTATAATTTTGTTGATACAGGGTGTGTCAAAAGTGGCCCCCCCCGCTATCATCTTTGTTATTTTAAATGGTACGCCCTGTATATTTCGACTTTTTTTTGAATCGTTGGTTAAAATAAATAAAAAATTGAGGTTATGTGTCCTTTTTTCATATTTTGATTGCCCCGTATAAAATTAGGTTGTGACGCTACTGATCCAGGAATTATAACGAAAATTTAACCACAGACTAAGGAAATGATGCTCTACTCAATCAGTTTGACAGATGGGCTTCAGCTTATACAAAATCTCAATATTTTCAAATGGAACACGCTATATTTTTATTCAGATATCAATTCTAGAAGTTCAAACAAGAAATGAGCTAAAATCTAAAGGAGTAACGAAGGAAGCAACTATAAAGGAATATGGTAAGCTCCAAAAAAAGATTAAACGACGAGAAAAACTAATATCTAAACAATATATGCCAAGAAATCGAAGCACATGGGAACAAAATTGAGACCAGACAAATCTGTTTATGAAGATCAAACAAATAAAGCAAAAATTCTCCCCAAACCACAATAGTATAAGATCGGAAGATGGAATAATCATAACGGAAACAAATAAAATATAGCAACAATAGAGATCATATTGTCAGCAACTCATGGCTCATTCGGAAGCAACGGAAGATATAGCAGAGGAGGATGTTTTAGATCCTGAACCCGCCGTCTTAAAAGCAGAAGTCGAAGCAGGCCTTAACAAACTTGCAACACATAAATCTCCGGGTGTCGCTAACATAACACTTGAAATGATCACCGCTACAGAAGAGACAGGTCTAATGGTATACATGTACATGACCAGGGGACTGGAGAACCTCTATGTAAGATAATGCTACAGCTAACTCTGGAGAGACTCAAGGTACTGCCCGAGATACCCGAAGAACAGTCCGGGTTTGTTCCTGGTCATGGCACCAGAGAGCGATTCCTTAATATCAGGCAAATAACAAAAAAATCACAGGAGTTTAATGTCGCTACCTATATCTGTTTTATAAACTACAACAAAGCGTTCGATAGGCTGAAGCAGCAGGCAGATCTAGTAAAAAACTAAGAAAACCAAAGTTTGAATATTTGGATCGAGCAATGTTGCAGTGATTCCAACAGCAACGTCTTAAAAATGTACCACTCTCTGGACCTATCCTAAAACTAAAAGCAGAAAGGTTTGCTGAACAGCTTGGCATTATCGATTTCAAGGCTTCGGAAGGAAGAAAAATTCAATCAAAGACATCGTATAAATTAGGGATAGATAAGTGGCGAATCCCGTGATGTCGATAGAAGCGTCACCAACGATTGGCTGGAGAAGACGTGGCCAAAACTAGCAGAAAAGTATCCCGCTGACGACATTTTTAATGCTGACGAAACTGGTATTTTTTACAAAATGGCGCAAGATAAAACTGTTAAAGTTCGAAGCGAAAAGTATGTGGGTGGAAAACTTTTTAAAGAACGTATAACAGTGTTAGTATCAGCCAATATGAGTGGGAGAGAAAAAAGAAAGCTAGTCGTGATTGGAAAATCAACTAACCTACGATGTTTTAAGAACATCGAGCATTGGCTGGTGAGATACGGAAATGGGATTCAGAATTAAAGGGGAGGAAAATATTAATTCTCTTAGATAACTGCCCTGCACATCTCCATATTCCAAATCTACGGAATATTGAATGGCATTTCTTCCAGCCAAAACAACAAGTGTATTACAGCCGATGAACTAGAGCGCAATAAAATGTCTTAAGAGTCGATACAGGAAAAACATTTTAATGGAAATGATCGAATCCGAAGACAAATTTTCCATTAATATGCTAGATGCAGTCAACGTTATTAGTAAAGCTTGGAAAGAGGTGGCAGCAGAAACAATTGAACACTTCTATCGTCATGCAGGACTAATTAAGGAAGGGTGAGGAAGAGCGCCAAGAAGAAGAAGAAGATGAAGAAGTTGATCGGAGACCACCACCAGCCATTCAACAAGCCCTATATTCAGTTAAGCTCCTAGTATCATGGTGTGGTATGGTATGAAGATGTTCCTCTCGAAGAAATGGTGAAAATACAAACCAAAAAGAATTCAAAAGAAAATGACCCATTATTTGATACATTAAATGTAATTCTTAAATATTTATATAAAATGTTACTAAGGAGATGTTAAAATATGTATATAAAATAATTAAATATTACAGAACACGTATGCGAAAAGAAAAGCAGTCCCTTTAATTTTGCTATATAGAATTTTGATTGTATTTTTAAATAGCAAAGACATGAGACTACTTCTTTTAAAGATATAATACGCCAGATTTACAAATAAAACTTATTGCTAACAATACGTGGAAATTTTGAAAAAAGACTCTATACCACACGTTTTCGCAGACTTAATAAAACTTCAGAATTCATATTTAAAGAAACATTTAATAATTCATTATCTAGTTTGATTAAAAATACCTAAAAAAAAAAGAAATTATGAAAGTTTAAGTTAACCAAAAAATTATAACTTATCTAAAATACAAATAAAATATATACTAACAAAAAACTTGACAACTATGAACTTTTGAAATAGAAATATGAAGAACAACAAAAACAAGTAGAAATGTCAATGTTTGTTTATACGTTAATGCGTAAAAAAAATGATTGTGAAGTCATAGCAAACTACCTTCTTAAATATTTTGATATTTGTTTGTTGTTTTGATGCCAGATGAATTGAGCATTTTGAGATGAACAGTTTCAACTAAACTATGTTGACCGAATTTATTTATTTAGTTAACTTCTTTTTTATAGATTTATTTATTCAAATCTGTAACCTTAGTTAGACAGCATGTAAACCTGAATTCAAATAATGTCAAAATATATAGGGCGTTTCATTTAAAATAACAAAATTGATGTCGGGGAGGGGGACTCTTTTGGGACACCCTGTATCAACAAAATTATATTATTTTAAATCGTCAGGGAAGGCCAAGAAACTTTTTTTTGTCCAGATCGTATAGTGGATGGTTTTATTTGTACACACGCAAGAGAGCGTAAAAGTCAAATTTTACTTTCGACAATGATATTTTATATCGAGAATAGATATACAATTTATTAGATAAGAATAGATGATTAATTTATGAATGCAAGTGATAAGAAAAAACTATTCATTCGCACATCAAGATAAATATACAAAAAGAAGTTTTTTTTTTAAATGACAATTACTGATTTTAATTAAATTTAATTTTACAAACGGGAGAAAGAAAACGGGAAGTTAAACAGTTAAAATTTAAAATCTAATAAATTAATAGGGAGAAACAAGTAATATAGACATTACGAATTTTCCAAAAAATATCGCAATTTTGAGCGATCCCGTATATGAGATATAACAATTTCGTTTTCAGGGAAAAACTAACGCACAGCAATCCCATTTTCAATGAAAATGGGACTTTTACTTACACGGCCAACAGGACAGCCATCTTCCTGCCAGAGATGAACACCATTAGTTTAAACGATAGCATAGTAGTACCCAACTTAGCAGTATTGGTAAGATTTATTATAGCCGTATTCACTTGCGTACATATTTTTTATTTCGCGTTTTCAGTAGGAAATTATAAATAGCTCTCCAAAGGGAAGACACATACATTATTAAAAGCCGCAAAAAAAACAAGAAAGTATTTTTGGTATATGCATGAAAATTTGGAACAAGACTGAAATACCCTACAAATCGTGCAACTCCTCTTTCAAAGGTCCCAATCAGCATTACAGGGTGTTTTATTTCAAATAAAAACGTTAGTAGTCTCGACGGAAAAACTGGTGAAAATACAGTAAACTATAAGTCCAAATTTACGCAAGCAAATTTTATATTTTTCGAGTTCCAAAGATAAGTGCCATAAATTGCAGGGGATCTATTAGGCTAACAGAGGGTAAAGAAATGTAAAATATAAGAATGGGTACATAATTTCATATGATTATTAGAATTCGAAAAATCCAAAAAAGAAAAGATACGAGAAACGCAAAAAATAGAGGATTTAGTTAGTTAGTTCTTAGAAACTCTTTTACATGCTTTTACAAAAGAACCTACGAGGACTCGATTAAACTAATACAAGCGAAATAATGAATACAAAGCAAGTTTTATATTTATTACAGCGTCTTCTATCACGTTTGTAATGGAAAACAGAGAGGACTTGTCCCGCTTCTTTTTCTTCTTGCAGCAAATGGCTCTCGTATAGTTCCCATTAAAGTACGTTTTTGGTTAGTTGCTGAAGTTGATGTTTTCAATTTTACCGAATTAAAACGTCTCTCCTTATTCCAAAACTTATTATTTTGGTAACTTATACCGCAATTATATGGGACATTAGTTGGCCAGCAAAATCACATACCTTATTTCCTTCCTAGATTACTTTTTATGGGGAAGACTGAAAACAGATCCAGAATTGTGGATGAGGCTGTTAGCTGAGTTATACTTAAACCAGAAATATACTGCTCTTACAATCCACCCTGTGATTAACTTTTGCCTAATGTTTATTTTTCCAAAACCGCAGCCCCTTACTCGTAACTATTCCAGGACCGTCCTAGGAATTTATCTATCTTCACTAACAAGCGGAATATAAAAAAAATTGTACAAAGTAACACTTTGTACAATTCTATTTCATTACATTTCCACAAACTAGCATTATTAATATACAAAATATTAAATATGTATTAAATAAATATGATCAATTCCGCCACTAATCTAAATAAATATTTTCTTTATTACTCTATTTTCACAGTTATTCCAGCTTTGTACTGAGATTTTAGCTATCTCTTACCGAATTACGTTTACGGTACAATCACTAATTTTTGGTGCAGTGTAATTGCTTCTTATATGTGCTTTCAATTCAGACCAAATCATCTTAATCGGGTTAAATTTACAATGATACCATTTTTTTTTTCATATTTCGTCTAAATACACTACACACTCGAAATTTCTTCTCTCACTTTCTTCTTGAGTGTGCAACAATTTTTCTTACAGTTGACTTCACAACTTTGGTCATGTTTTAAACATCCAATACAATTTGTTTAGCATCCGAAGACAGATGGACCTTTTTTTATTTGCTGAGGTAGATCGTCTTCTAAATTGTGATTAGGTTAGACTAACATCTCCACTTCGTCTTCAAGTTCTGCGTTGTTTTCCACGTCTTCTTCTAACAGGGGAACATGTGCTTCATTCCACGGTCATCGCATGTGTTAAAAAACAGGAACCTTCAAATGATTACAATAAGAAAAATGTTGTTAATCGATATTCACACAAGACATAACGTCATAGCAATGAATGCACTATATTTATGGTCACATTATTCCACTTCAAACAATTTGAACAACTGAATCAATAAAATAAACTGTAAATAAATAAAAAACAATATTCTCTGTATATAATTAATAAGCACTCAAGTACTCAGCCCGGGAAATCCACCCGTTTGTGGAGGAATAATCTAGAAGCATCTAAACATCATCGTAATCATATTTTTATAAAGAAATATCTTCTAGCTCATGCCAGCATATTTCTACGACGCTTCGATGATAGTCAAACTCGGGATAAACATTATGATAAGGACTTACAACGCTCAACCTCTAGTGAAGACCACCATACACAACTTCTTGTGGAACATGACCGATCCCGTATTGATGCCTGCTCAAAAAATTGCCCCCAGTTTAGTTCCGACAACGAACGTTGGAATCTTGGACAGGGTAACCAAATTCCCCCTCCGATGTTAGGAAAACTTCTATTTAAGTTCGATTACAGATATACTCGAATTTCATCGACAACGTTACTGTTTTCATCGGATCGAAACATGGCCACGGCAAATTCTTCACCATCGACAGATACGACGGCTCCGACAATTTGCCAAATTCGAGAAAATGCGAAAACAAATACGAGAACGCGTCAGAGGGCGTCAGCTATCCTCAATACTTAAGCAAAAATTACACGATAAAGTACTGGAGGAAAACCCTGTGCAAAGTCGCGGAGCTTCTATACAACGGTAGGTGTTCTTACGTGTGCCTTATTTATTATGTGATGTGATATAAAGGACAGATCGTTTGGGACGGACTGTCAAATTGGATATACATTAGAAGAACTAGAAATTTTTTTTAAAATTTTTACTGTATTTTATTTATTTAGCCTTAAGCAGAATCGCAAATCCTCAAAAACTGTTACACTTGTTTTAAGTCGATAAGTATTATCGTTAAGCCACAAATCGACTTTTTTACCTGTAAATGTGATTTTAACTAACAGGAATTAATGAAATTTAAAAAAGTCATTTTCACAATCCGTTAAAAATTAGTTTCCATTAAAAGAGCTTATTATGCAACTGCTACTGTGATAGTCCATCAGGAATATTCAAATACTTTTTTCTTCAATTTTTTTGACTGCAGAAGTAAGTTGTTCGAATGTTTCCACACAATACCAACCAAAAGCTGAGAAAAGCAAAATATACTTCAAATTAATAAGCTTTCATAGTTTTGAAAGCCCCTGAATATTTTCAACAGGCACAAACATAAGATAAAAAACAAACGGTATTGTTTACAAAGTAATGTTATCTACATACCAAAAAGAATGACTTAGTTACACTTTTCCGAATTGGAGTTATTCCCAATGAGCATCATGGCTGGTACATGAACTTACTAAGTAATAATTCCATAAAAGACAAATGCCCTGCACAAGACGAAAGCAGTGATGAAGTATAATGTTAGGACTATTTTATGCTACTTAATTTTTGTTATTAGCAATTATTATTGTTATTTAAAGAGTTAATAAATGTTAGGTGAAAAAATTGACCTTAATTTCCTTCGAATAGGAAAATAATAGGGTTAGTTATATTATGACTAATGAAACAATACATTTTTTTTTATTATGGTAGTAGATTAACACAAACCTACTTTCAATATGTATTTCCACTAAAATAAACTTACAAGAAATAATTGATTTTATATTCATGAAAAAGTGACCAAGTCCAAATTTCTTTCGAATAGAAAAATAATATGACTATAATAAACTATGACTATAATGAAATAATACTATTGCAGTAGATTTACCAAAACCTATTCAATATGTATTTCCACTAGAATAAACTTACAACAAATAATTGAATTTTATATTTGTTCATAAATCTTCAAATATTAATAGCTCAAAGCTATTACTAATGGACCTGGTCACTTTCTCTTGTATACCGACGATACTTAATCAAAGTTGAAGCTTTTTGTGAGATATTTCAGAAAAAAATAATAACATAAGAAAATCGGGCATTTTGACTAATGTTTTATGAATCGGTGGAGGGGCAGCGTCTTCTTTTACATTTTGGTTCTGTGGTAAAACGTTTTCAAAAATCCCCAATTTTTAGACGAACAATATTTGTACGGGGTAAAAGCATTCAGATATGTGCTTGATCCGTTTACGTACAATAGAACGCAGCCTAGCCACAAGGACTGCTACAAAGGAGTCGGAGATCCTTTGCCCAATGGGTTGGCGGACGTTTCTTCGTGTTATTTCGGTAAAAATCCAATAAAAATCTAATCTAATCACGCCAACTAAACAAAACTAAGCAAAACTAATCAAACCTAACCAAAACTAAATGAAACTAACCAAAACTAACCGAAACTAGCCGAAACTAACCGAAACTAAAAAAACTAACCAAAACTAATCGAAACTAACCAAAACTAACTAAAAATATCCAAAATGAACCAAAACTATCCGAAACTAACCAAAACCAAGCAAAACTAACCAAAACTGGATTGTAGGGTATCCGATGGCAGCCAGTTTTCCGCATTATCTCTACGCGGATGATGTCGTAAAAAGCTACGTGGAAGGCTTGCAGCCGGATGAAGACAAACACGGGTCCTATGTAATATTAGAGCCAGTTAGTATATTATCCACCCAATGATCCCAATACAAATTATAATTTACCCCAGTTCACAGGCATACCTCTACAAGGTAAGGCGAGGTCTCAGATCAACTTGGTTATGAAAAAGTTCTGGGGATTCGGTGAGAAGATCCAACGGTTTAGTGATTTGACCGTGCCGCTATGTTGGATAGAATACGTAAGTATTACGCAAAATTTGGTTTAGAAAATGCTTCAGCTACTTGGTTAGGCTATAAATCGCAAGTCATTAAGGGGATTATGATGACTGAGAAACAAGTTCAACATTTTATGCCTCGCTCAGTATCTCAAAAGTTAAGACGTTTAGGACAAATATTCATATACAGTTTTCTTAAGTTTCTTAAAATGAACCCAAAAACAGCTTCCTCAATTAGAAAACGCCCACCCACAAAGGTTTTTCAATTATTCAATTCGGAAATTTGATAAAAAAGTTACTATATATATACTATATATATTATATATAACGTTTGGGTTCTTTCACAATATTAATAAGAAATTTTTTGGTGCCCCAAGATACCCAAAATATTAAAAGCGTGTTACCTAAGATTTTGGAACAATATTTTTAACGTTTCTCATAGATCAATTTATGATAAGAAGTTAGCACTCGATACAATAATAATAATAATGATCAGTTATAAAACCACAAATTGTTAATTTTTTTGAGCAGCAGGATATCTTTGGGAATGAGCAGTTTGGATTTAGGGAGGGGCGCTCTACCATACAAGCGATAAGTAAAGTAGTGGGAGATGTGGTGGTGGGCCTTGAGACTGAAAGTCGGGTGGGGTTGACAATGTGTGACCTTAGCAAAGCCTTCGAGTGTATCTCACACGATCTTCTTAAACAGAAGCTGTTTAGGTATGGATTTCGCGGCAGAACCCTTGAGCTAACAGAATCTTATTTATTAGATACATATCATATGGAACAATATTATGGGGAAACTCTGTCAATGCTGTTCAAATATTCAGGAAACAGAAAAGGGCTATAAGAATTCTTACTGGGGCTAAGCACAATGAACACTGTACTCCATATTTTAAAAAATATAGGATAATGACAATGCCCTGTATCTGTATTCTCCATAATCTTTTAGAAATTCACAAACATACTTGAAGGTGTTTCTCATAGTTATCCAACACGTGCAAAAAATCTTATAAGAGTTCCAAAGCAAAGACTTCGTTACATCAGGCAAAAATTCTTTAAACATTAACTTGTACAATATGCTTCCAGATAGGTACAGACATATGGCTTTTGAGGTGTTCAAAACAAATATTAAAGCGTTGCTTATTGAAAATTGTTTCTATAGTGTGGACGAGTATTCCATCAAAATAAAAAAACTAAATTAAAATCCATGGCTTACTGAAATGCGTGAAAATCATAGCATCTTCTTGCACTTTCTGTACGACTTTTATACTCTGTGTTATTTATAAAATACGTTTGTTTTACACCTATATACTTTTTACATTTTGTTTTTGTATTTTACCTTATATTGATAGGCTGCCATTGTATTATTATTGTACAATATGTGGTTAATAAAATGTTTCTTCTTCTTCAAATTTGATTTTGAAAACAAACAAATCATGCGTGTAAATCTTAGTCTTTTTATTTTTGACATTCTCCACCTTGTCTTTTGTTATTTATTTTTGTATGTATATATTATCTTTTTCTAATATTCCGTTTCCTTGTTTATTGCTTCGAGACTTACAGATGGAATAATTTTTTTAAGATTAAGATTAAGTTTTCTTAAAAGCTTCGGTTGTTGTCGAGTCGAACTTGCTCACGTTCATCCTGTTGGTTTCTTCAGAGCTTATCTGAAACTGTTAAGCAGTTAAACAGTTTTCACAGTCAACAGGACGATTGGCGAAGTTTTGTAAATAGTGTTACAGTTGCCTGTGGGAGTTTCTTTGAAAAATTAGCACCTAATGATGGTAACATCATCTAGGAAAAATTTGTTGCCTCTTTGTTATTTAAACATGTTTGTTTTTCCTCTTTTTTGTATTGTAATAATGTTTTATGTCTTGCAGTTCAGCCTATTTAGGTGTATAATTAGGTAATCAAGGGGGCAAATAAGCACAAAAATTAGTTTTGTTTACCCTTGATCTGTTATTGAAATTGTGAAATTAAATCATATAAAGACAATTAAATTTTTCAAAGGAACTTCCACATTCTACTGTAATACTTTTTACGAAACTTCTGGATTCCTCCTGCGTCGGTTTTTGCTGAGTCGAACTTGCTGACGTTTCGCCAATCATCCTGTTGGCTTCTTTACAGCTTAACTGAAACTGACCAGCTCTCAAGAAGCCCACAGAATGATTGGCGAAACGTCAGCAAGTTCGACTCAGCAAAAACCGGCGCAGGAGGAATCCAGAAGTTTTGTAAAATGTAAAGTTTTTCCTGATGCCATATTCATAATTTCAGTATCAGGTTGGTATCCCTGCTTACATCCAGAACCTGACTTTCTTTGTGGTTGTACTGGTGCCCTTGGGTCAACTGCCATTCTCACTGGTGCTGGTCAGCTCCAGCATGGCGCTGTTCTATCTCTGCTGGTTCAGGTGGAAAAAGCGCAGAGAAAAGCAACTATTGAGGAACAAAATATTGACGTTTGAATCGGAGAAATTTATCAAGTGAATAAAAAGTGATATCTAGTGTTTAGAAGTAGCGAGAAATGTTTTGTAAGTCATTTTGTATTAAGAGATTATATTAAAGAGTTGATTAAAATTTGTGTGGATTTAATACAAGTACACCAAATATATACGCTTCGATACCATCACAAATAAATAAATAAATTATGTTGAACTGAGGAGGCTTTTACTTGATGAAAATCCATATATCAAAATAAATAAGAACTAAAAGTTCAGATTTTCACGAAATTATATATTTTGACATGACATTTGATAAAGACACGGTGTTGCCGAAAAAATTGTCATGTCAAAATATATAATTTCGTGAAAATCTGAACTTTTAGTTCTTATTTATTTTAAATAAATGATGCTCAGAACTATTTCCTTATATGTAATTAAACCCATTCTGCAGAAATCCTAGAATTTTTTACATACACCACAGACCTATTTTAATAAATATAAATTAAACAAAAAAAATCGCACAATATAAGAATTTCGCAGTGCAATTATAAAAAATAGCATTCAAACATACATACCATTCGCAAACACTAGTTTGTTATTCTTTGCAGTTATAAAAACAATTAGTAACTCAACGTTTTTTAAACAAAATTTGCAAAAAGGAAATTGTGTCTTTTATCTGTAAATATACATTTGAAAATGTAAAAATTTCGCTCCACATCTACAAAACAATATTTTAATATTGGAGTTAAGCGTGATTCTGATTTATACAAATCCGGTTCTTTTTCGAAACTAGCGAGATGAAAACTGCAGAAGTATTTTTTAGGGTTTTGGAGCCTGTGTTATTTTCAACTGTCTGCCTAAAGCCACTGAATTTATCAAAGAAACAGATTTATCATTTATGTTATCATTATTACAGAAGTTGTTTATCATTAATATTATTTAAGTAGTTTCTTTATATTACGGGATATTCACAATATTTAGAATGATTATTTTTTTAATATTATTTTTAACTAAAGTATAGGTGCAGGCCAAAATTTATTTTGGTAATTTTTGCTTCCAGAAAAACATGTTTTCCTAAACAACTATTCATTCTATCGGCAAAATTCTTTAACTATAACATTTATTTCAGCATTTTTTAGATTATATACAAGGTTTTAAAATTATAGGCAAAAATCTAAAGGAATTTGAAAATTGTTCTTTTCCAGAGTAAATTATTAACCGCAAATCAAAAATCGTAAAAAATATGGTTAATGGGTTCAGTGTCATAGGCCGCATCAAGAGCTACCATTTTTGTATTTGCGGTTTTCGTCTACCGTATACGCTGTTCGAAATATTTGCAAAAAATCAAAATGAAAATCACCATTGCTCGCCTGGGAGATCCAGGGCCATAACCTCCATTTCCGGAATTTATTTAATTATATATTAAATATATTATATAATATTATATTAATTATTTATGGGTAAAAATATCTAAAACACCCTGAAAATTTCCGTTTGTAAATTATTAAAAAAATTTGTAAAAATTTGGTCCAAACAGTTTTGTAAATTGTGAGGATAGAGAGTTTCAGGTTTCGTCTATCATACAGGGTGTGCGAAATACTTGGAATAATATAATTGGAAATCGTTATTGCTCGTACATTTTTTATATTTATCAAAGTTTGTCGTTACTTTAAAATTCGGGGATAAATAAAAGACGATTTTGCGAAAGTTCCATAGTGGTCCGCAGGAGCACGATAGAAAAACAATGGGTCCCTCTAGGACAAGGACATTAAAAAAACTTTTTGTTAAGGCTATAAAAAATGTGATAACTTTGAGGTTTTTTTATATAAGAAATTTTCACAGGCTACTGTAATACTTTTTACGAAACTTTTGGATTCCTCCTGCGTCGGTTTTTGCTGAGTCGAAATCGCCAACGTTTCGCCTGTTTACATTTCATCCTGTTGGCTTCTTCAGAGCTTGACTGAAACTGGCTCGCATTTTCCTCTGTACCTGCTTACATATTTTTTGAGGGGGGCGGAGCTAAATGAGCGGCGTAAACATAGTCTCGGATGACTGATTCCCAAATTGGTGACAGGTAGAGACCTGAAGAAGAAGTATAACGTCAAAACCAGATTTACCACTTCACATCTTCGCTCCGTCAAAGACAAAATCCATTTGAGATGCCAGGAGTTTACAGCGTTCCACGCATATACGGCAAAGAATATATTGAAGAGACCGGTCGAAAAATATCAACTACGCTCAAAGAACACGAAAGAGCCTTACGACTAAGACAAATAAACTCATCAGCTGTTGCCGAACCCAATCACGAAACCGGACATAAAATAATAATAAGAAATAATCAATTCTCCTACCAACGAAAAATCCGAGAGTCTATAGAAAGAAATCTATAAACAACCTAACAACCACTAGATTCATATTAGTTTATTTTTTTAAGCAAATTCTGTCTCTTAACAGAGGTTTATTCAGAGGACCACGTGTACCATTCTGGGATGCACATGGTGGTGCGCCTATAAAAAGTATCCTTGAAGTAACAGTGAAAATGGTAATAAATAGTTTTGGTCAAAATAAATCTGCGGTAGACTACTTTGAAGTGTGGTAAACGGCATTTTCGTCACGAGTATTTAATAAACGACGTCAAAAGTTTAGCAAAGGAGTTGCATATGACCGTTAGAATTCGCAAACGTCAAAATTCGAGCCGTGCGAAAACATCCGATTCGAAACAAACGGTTCTGTTTATAAATTCGTGCTTATCGCACCGATAATTCTTTTGCCTGCTAATTGGACGTTAAATCTCGTAGCGCCACTCGAATCTAGACTTAAATTTTTATTCCGGACCGTTTTTACTGTTCGCCGAAGTTTACGCAACCGAAATCGAGATAACTCGTTGCAACACTGTTGTCTGTCGCTGAGATATTTGTTGTTATTTATGAACAGATAATTCTCTATAAAACCGGCGCCATCTTACACGTTTGAGGCCTGTTTCTAAATGGCGAAGAATAATAATCATTGAAACCGATATGCCACCAAAAAAAAAAGTGAACAACTCCAATTTAAAGTTGCTTAGATAATATTCCGGTTAGTTTTGGTTAGTAATTAATTTGAATGAAACCACTTATAAGGTTATTATATATTTTATACTCTTCCGGAAAGGGATTTCAGAAAATAACTTGATACATGCTTTGTACAAAACTTCTGGATTCCTCCTGCGTCGGTTTTTGCTGAGTCGAAATTGCTGACGTTTCGCCAATCATCCAGAGCTTGACTGAAATTGGCTCGCATTTTACTCTGTACCCGCTTTTGTATTATTTGAGAGGGGCGGAGCTAAATGAGGAACATAAACACAGTCTCGGATGACTGATGTTCATATTGGTAACAGGTAGAGACCTGATTGTTAGGTTGCTTGTAGATTTCTATAGGCTCTCGGATTTTTCGTTGGTAGAAGAATTGATCACTACTAAGTTTTTTTTTGTTAATTTCCTGACACGGCAATAAATTTAATTTACTCAGTTGTGAGGTAAAGACTTAACAATGCCATTTCGTCATCACCAACTAACGTTTTAGCAGTAGTTTTTGATATAAAGCAAGGAAAGTTCAAATAAGTCGCAAGGTGTTAAAAATTAATAAAAGTTGTAGGTTTTCGTAAGATCTCTCAAAAAAAATTATAACGAAAATCAAAATAGTTGAAAAACTATTAGGGTTTGTTATGTATTGTTATTAATAAAGTTTTAAAAGGGGAGATTTTAAAAGGGACTAACCAAAACAAAATTTCAAAAAAAATTATGTTCCATCTTAACATACACAAATGAAATTTTATGTTTTAAGTATCCCCACAAAAAATATCACAAGAATTCAGATCGGAGCTGTTGGCAAGCCATTGATTGATAGTTGCTTGCCTACCTGTCCAAAGGACGTTATAGGGTCCATCTTGATGCCAACTTAAATTTAAATAATTCCTAACACTCACATTATTTGATAATTATTTTTAAACTTCATCCTGTTGGCTTGTTCAGAGCTTGACTGCAACTGGCTCGCATTTTACTCTGTACCTGCTTATATATTGTTTGAGGGGGGCGGAGCTAAATGAGGGGCATCCGTCTTGGATGACTGATTCCCATATTGGTTGCAAGCAGAGACCTGAGTCGCGGTTAAGATTGTTAGGTTGTTTATACATTTCTATAGACCCTCGGATTTTTCGTTGGTAGAAGAATTGATTACATGCAAGAATTTTAGTTTTATCGAATAAAATTTTATGTCCGGTTTAGTGATTGTCTTCGGCAACTGCTGATGTCTTTATTTGTCTTAGTCTTAACTCTCCTTGATGTTCTTTGAGCCTAGTTGTTATTTTTCGTCCGGTCTCTCCAATGTATTCTTTGCAGCATATGCATCAAAAGCTGTAAACTCCTGGCATCCCAAATGGAATTTCGTTTTTGACGGATCGAAAGTGTTGAGAATGGTAAATCTGGTTTTGAAGTTATACTTCTTCATGAGGTCCTCCGAGACGGTGTTTATGCCTCTCATTTAGCTCCGCCCCCCTCAAACAATATGTAAGCAGGTACAGAGTAAAATGCGAGCCAGTTTCAGTCAAGCTCTAAAGAAGCCAACAGGATGAAATGTAGACAGGCGAAACGTTAGCAATTTCGACTCAGCAAAAACCGACGCAGGAGGAATCCAGAAGTTTTGTAAAAAGTATTACAGTAGCCTGTAAAAATTTCTTATATAAAAAAAAAACCTCAAAGTTATCACATTTTTTAGAGCCTTACCAAATCTTCATAAAGTTTTTTTAATGTCCTTATCCTAGAGGGACCTGTTGTTTTTCTATCATGCTCCTGCGGACCATTATGGAACTTTCGCAAAATCGTCTTTTATTTAAGTGGTGAATCTGGTTTTGACGTTATATTTCTTTAGAACATGTGCAAGTGCGGGATTGCTTTCGGTTTCATTTCTATGGGAAGATTGTGGTGACGTGTATTTTGTTTAATATCTTTGGTGTGGAAATTATTAAAGAGAATAGCTGAGTAAGGAGAGTTGATAAGCTATAATTTTTGGGCGGGATGGTGATGTGACAATGCATTAAGGTGTCGATCTGTGTGCGTAGGCTTTCTGTAAACACAATGACCCAATGTCAGGTCTGATTTTCTATTGATAAGAATATCTAAGAATGGGAAGTTGTTATTAGTTTCTATTTCAATGGTAAAATATATGTTAGGGTGTGTAGTGTTTAAAGGTCTAAGAAAATCTACTAGGGATTCCTGACTATGAGGCCAAATAACAAAAGGATCATCGGCGTAGCGTTTCCATAATTTTGGTTTAGAGAGCCTTCTTCTCAAAGGCTTCCATGAATATATTCGCGATGACTGGTTTGCTCCCAAATCCGTGCGGTAAAATCCAAACGAAACGAAAACATTTTTGCAATCGGTCGACTGGGGCGCCATTTTATTTTTAACCGTTATCGCGGAGCAGTAAAATTGTTTGTCGAATTAGAGGTTTTCGCCAAATCGTTTAAAGCAATGTCGCTGGCAATTTTGAACGAAATAAAAACGTCTCGCGAGGATCATCATCGCACGCACCCGCACTTAAATATTTATCAACGAGCAGATTCGGTAAACAACTAATTAATGGAGCGAAAAATCATAGTCAAAATAAGATGTCAAAGCTTAGAAGTGATTGATGAATTGCAATGAACTGTTTGGTTTTGGTTTGTTAGTGGCATACGTTCAATGTAAACTTTCCACTTGATTTTGTGTCCCATATTTTACTATTGCCGACTTGTGACGTATTCATTTTCTACGCATTTTATTTGATATGCAGTTAAAATTCTGCCAAGGTGCCTCCACAGATCAATAGATAAATCATCTATCACTTACTTATAATACACAACTAAACCAAATACTTTTTCCAGTATTTTTATTTCTGTAAGACAATACTAGTTTTCATTCACCCTTGCAAAAAAATGACATTAGCGTTAGTCGAAAATGACTTAAAAAGTAAGATCACTTTTAAGTTTCATGAAAAAGTATTCATTTACTCATCAAAGTTTCTTGAGTTTTGGGAACAGGAAAAAGTCGCAGGGGGCCAGATCCGGTGAACATGGTAGCTGGGGCATGCTTGTGGTTTTGTTTTTGGACAAAAAATTAGACACAAGATGCATTATCGTGATGCAAAATCCGTCAATTTTTCTTCGTATTGCTTCCTGCAAACGGCGCATATCTTCAACTCTTCACTGACAGTAAACCAAACCTTGAAATTTGATCGAACTTGAGGTGATCTCTTTACTTTTTGAACACACCCCGTATGCATCGGAATTTGAATTCTATGCTACACGGTGCTCATATATTTGTATCATTTTAAATTGGTAAATCTCAATTTTCCAATATTTACTCTCCTTCCCGTGCAAGATTATTGTTAAAAGATTAATGGGTCATGACGAAACTGTTAGCCAACAGTTAAGTTAAGTTAAGTTAAGATAAAAAAAATGAAGTGGGCTAATAACTTTGTTCGAACCAAGGAAAAAGCGGCGGATAGTTAGCAATTTTGGTGAAAATTACTGCCAAATTTTAAATTCATAGAAAAAGTAAATACATTATTTTTAATTATTATTATGGCATAATAAATGTTCTGAAATATTGGATACACATGTTTTTTGGAATATTTTCTTAGACGTTCTTTAACATAAATGATTTTTAACATCTCCGCCGAGGAAATCTAGAGGTGTTAAGTCACATGACCTAGGGGGCCATACAATTCACCTCTATCGATCCATTTCTGTTAGTAATGATTTAAAAACTTTTCAATGGTGAATCATTTTGCAAAAGGTTTAAATATCTAGGCAGGGTATTTTTGATTTGTGTCTATAATTGTATATCATCGAAAAAGTGCCTGGCATAAAAATTATGGCCTCGAATGGTTATGGTTAATAGTTTTCAAGATAATAATTATTTTCTAGAAGTCAAAATATCCAAAAAAAATCAAAAATTTAAAAAATACTTAGCAAGATTTGAGTGAGTCCCATTTTAACAGATAAAATAAGAGTCGAAAAAAAAACAACTTTTTTGTCTGTTTCTCCGTTTTCTGTTCTCTGTCTACTCTCCATAAAATTGAAATTGAAAAGTATTTTTAAAAATTTACAAACCGCGTTTGCATGTATCTATGAAAAAAAACATTTCCCGAAAACGGTTTAAGCGATCTAAAAAAAATCGTGTATTTAAAGATTAGCAAGACCCAATGCTATACATTGTTGTTTTCGTCAATTTTTAAAAATGTACAGGGTGTGGCAAGTATTCGCAAAAAACGGAATGGGATTCCTCTTTAAATGAAAATTTACCATAACTAGAAGACTGCGATTCAGAAGTCAATTTGTTTTACTCCAAAATATAGCTCGTGCAAACAGCCTATACTTTTGCAGTTAAGATTTTTACTTGCTATACAGCCCTAAATCTGCAGCTAGCGACAACAGATTTGACAGAGAACAAGAAGTCGAGACCCATATTTAAAGCGCTAAAGTTGGGCGCAATCAAACACCGCAAAGTATTTTTTAAAAATCTTTGAATTTTATTTTTGGGATATTTTGATTTCCAGGAAAAAATTATTTTCTCCAAAAAAATTCTTTAACCAACTAACGCGGAAGATCCATTTCCACAACTTTTATTTTAAGCATTTTTTCGCTTATATGCAGGGTTTTTCAATTATGGGCAAAAATCTTAAAGTCCCTGAAAATTATCCTTTTCCAGCGTAAATTATTAGAACTAAATCAAAATTCGCGAAAAATATGGCCAATTGGTTTAAAGAGTGTTGTAGACCACATCAAGAGCTAGAATTTTTGTATTTACGATTTTCGTCTATCGCATGCGCCGTTCGCGATATTTGAAAAAATTCAAATGAAAGTCACCATTTCTCGTCCTCAATCTAGACGCAATGACGTCATTTACTACTATCACGTACCGCATGGTTTCAGAAAACATGTATTTTCTTAAAAACCATTTACTCTATTGGAATATATCATATATTAGAAAACGTGGGAGACAACTACAACCTACTACAACCTCTATTTCGAACAAAAGTTTTTAAGCACTATACAACTAATTGCGCGTTTTAGATTTAAGGTTGAAAACTGCACAATTTCGTCCACATCTGTGACAATGATTACGTTATACGAGGTCAAACGAAACCAATATACGAATTTCTCGATCGGTGATGCTCATTTTTTTCCTCTCTCTTAAGAGTATCGATATCGATAACAGATTATTATTTATGTTTTTGTAAGAGATAACGCTGCGATGTTGTTAAATATATCCCACGTATAAGAATGTCGTCGTTCATTCACAATTCGTGTGCCGGATAGTAAGCGACACATCTAATACATATACCGGGTGTTGTGTTTTTAAAATCCAGACGATCATGGACGATATCGCGGAAAAATTCGACAGTGTCAACATGCACCGGACTCATTCGAACCTGTCGAATTTGGAGAAGAACTGCAGTCAGATCTTCGTAAAGGGCCCTGCCCTGACGAAGGACTTTTTCGACAAAATACAAACCGACATGGTGCCGTCTAAAACAGACCTCTTCGGGTATCGGATGAATACCCGAAGGTTCCTTTGTAAGTTATTTTTCTTTGTTTTTTGTAAGTTGTAAATTTGTATGAATTAGGCCCGTTAGGTTACCGAAATATTTTGAAGAAGGGCCACTTGTACAGATACATCCGTTTTCAACTTGTTTATTATTAATAATAATTAAATTATATTATATTAATAATAACAAATAAAAAAATAGTTTTTTTCCTAAAACAATACTAGTTATCGCACGAGTTACAAAATTTACGATAGCGCTATTATTACCAAAGGGAGATCGCTCATTTTCTATACTATTTTGCTTTCGGTATTTTTTTATAGCCTCTATCAGTATATAAATTATATCAATTAATTCTGCTTTAGGAAAATCCCCACCTGTTTTTAAATTTTAAGAAGTTTACTTTCTCAGTTGTCAGGTAAAAATTTGACGTTATATTTTATCTTATAGCAATAGTCTTCGAAAGAAAATAATCACATACTTAATAATACTTGTAGGTTTTTGTATGATTCTCAAAATATAAAAAATTATACAGGGTGTTTTATAATTGATTGTCAATAATTAAGTTTTCTTAAATATAATATATTTTTTAATATCTGCTATAGTACCACATTAGATATTTTAATTAAATTTGGCACATATGTACCTTATAGTTTCTCTGCATGCTGTTATATTACCAATATTGTTATGGCCCGCCACTGGTGTATTTTAAAAAAATTATGGTTTTACAGATATTAAAAAAATACATTTTATTTTTGACAAAGTTTACGACATATATTCGTATGAAGTTTAGAAAACACTTTGTATAATGGCAAAATGTTGAAAATATATGCGTCTACTTTGAACACCCTGTAGCAGCTGATTCAAATTCAATTCAAATCGTTTACGTTATCTTCGAATAACGCTAATATCAAAAATAATGGCATCATCGTAAGTTTTTTTGCAAGTTTAAAAACTAGTTTTCTTGTTATAAAATAAAAATATTGGAAATACTATTGGGTATTATTATTAATAAAAAAGCTGAAGAATTTAAAAACGAATTCAAAACAAAAATATATATATTTTTCGTTGCACTTTTTTGAGCCACCCTGTGTAATTCTCGTAACTCTTATTTTACTTTGATTTTGACGTTGACCTACCCCGTACACTTAATACATAATTAAGTTGACATATTTTGAAGTGTCATTTATTTTAACACTTTTTTACCTCAGGAGACCATCATTTATGAAAAAAAAGGTTTCAATATCTTTAGTAAATTTTCGTTTATTTTGGACTAATCAGTGACGCCATATAGCTACTAGATATGTAGAATTCCGAGCTGAAAGAACTTGGTAAAACCTCATTTTTATTAATTTTAGTTTCTTTCCAACTACATCGAAAATCAACAATTCAATATCAATACGGAAGATTTCTTAAAGAATTATACCAAAGACAAGTCAAGGTAGTAATTACCAACTCCACACTATTTAATGACAAAGCCCAGTATTTTTAACAATTATAAATCCACAACCGCCGAAATTATATTCTTTACTTAAATTAGATAAACAAGATATGCCCGTTAGACCAGCCGTATCTTATGTAACTTCTCCAGCAGTTAAACTTCCAACAAAATTAGCAAATATTTTAAAATTCCACGCAGATTTTATGCCAAAATTTGCAATAAAAAATTCTTTTGAATTAATCAACAAAATTAAAGATATCAAAATCTCTTCTAACGCAACACTATTGTCTTTTGATGCACGATACTTATTTCCCAGTATTCCACCTATGAATGTGATAGATTTAGTAGATTTCACCCTCACTCGGAAACAGGTTAACCTATTGGTGAAACAAGATTGTTTTGAATTTAATGGACAGATTTACATCTCAAAGGAAGGTTTGATTATGGGAACGGACAGACAATCGAATTCTTTTATAAATTACATTAATTTATTATATAATCGTTTAAAATTCACTCTCGAGATTGAAAAGGATAACTCTATTAATTTTTTAGACTTAACCATTAACTATTACGAAAACGCAAAACAAATTGGATTTTTCCATTTACCATAAAGCTAACAGCACGGACACAATCATACATAACATCTCTTATACACACAAAATATCTGCATTTGACTCTTTTATACATAGACTTCTTAATACGCCACTCTCAACAGAAAATTACAACAAGGAAATTAATAAAATAAAATTAAAAATAAAAAACAAATTCGGACAACAGTAAACTCTAATTATCTGAAACCTAATACAGAACACGAACAATTTAAAACGATTACACATATAGGAGAAACCAGTGAAAAAGTTTCGAAACACTAACAACTAACAACACAATAGGAAAATTTTTAAAGAGCAATAAAACGAAATGTCGAAAATTTCAATAATCAAGTGTCTACAGGTTAAAATGCGTATGTCCTAAAATTTATATTGGACAAACAGAAACAAGAAACGCATTAACGAACATAAAAGAGCGTTTAAAAACAATAGTCTAGATTATAATTATGCTACACACTTAAACACAGAAAAACACATTTTTGATGAAAATTTTGATATCTTACATACAGCCACCAAAAGCAGAAAATTAAATTTATTGGCAGCCACGAAGGAACGATCAATTAGATTTAAATACATATATATATATATATATATATATATATATATATATATATATATATATATATATATATATATATATATATATATATATATATATATATATATATATATATATATGATGACACTATATTCCGGGATATCATCCGTTCGCTCGTTGAACTCCGACTGGAATCTTGCATCCGACTGGAATCCTGCTGACGTTTCGCCAAAATCTCACTTGCCATCTTCAATGCTCGCGCTCGAACACTGGGGTGTTTTCGGAGCGCGAGCATTGAACATTGCCAAGTGAGATTTTGGCGAAACGTCTGCAGGATTCCAGTCGGATGCAAGATTCCAGTCGGAGTTCAACGAGCGAACGGATGATATCCCGGAATATAGTGTCATCACATTTTTCCATCCGTGAATCAATACGTGAGAATATATATATATATATATATATATATATATATATATATATATATATATATATATATATATATATATATATATATATATATATATATATATATATATATATATATATATATATATATATATATATATATGTATCTTACACCACTCTGAATAATTTAAAGTAAATCTGTTAAGGTGCAAAGATGTTACCATAAGGCCCAGGCTGACCTTCTACAGGAGGGGCGGCATTCTGGACGCCCTCTAGAGCGGCCTGGGGGCACAACGGGCCCATCTGGTGGCCTAAGTGCTTGGACGCCCGCGAGGGCGCCCCCCTTTAATACCAATACCAATACCAAATACCAAGGCCCAGGCTTTCTAAAGCTCTCGCGTCAGAGACTTACTCCTATTATCAACTTGAACTGTTGTTTTAACGCAACTTTCTTTCGATAACCTTTATGACGGATTACATCTAAAAGCATCACACCACTTTCGTCGCTCGTCACGCAGCGATTGGGTAATACGTGAAAACACCGACGAATTGTTTGAACGTTATCAGCGTGTTGTTTTTTAAAGTAAACTCCAAAATCGAATGTTTACTTGTTTCGGGATAAGCGGATTCGTCAATATTGTGGACCTTACAAAAGCATTTCGCACTGCTTTTAAAAAACTAAAACTAAAACGGTGGCACTTTAAGCGACGAGAGATCAGTAAAGTTTGGCGTACCCCCAGGGCCGGTCGTTTTTACCGTTTATATAAATGGTACGGCAAATCTCAAATTTACAGGCACAATAATGAGTTTTGCTGGCGGCACGGCTTTATTTTGTAAACCAGAGTTGCGGAACTAACTAACCAAATTGACTTTAAACATGGAAAAAACGAATCACGTGCCTTTCTCAGGTTACGAAAATAGGAAGCTTAAAATTTGGCAACAACGAAATACCAGAAAGGACATCAATAACTTACCTATGACAAATTACTCATTATCAAAAAAATCAAAAATTCGTGATATGCTATTCAACAAGCAATTTATTTTCATCTTCTTCTTCTGCTTGGTGCTCTTCCTCGCCCTTTCTTGCTTGTTGTGATGTGGCTTCCTCTGTCAAGTCTGCTGTTGTAGGTAAATCCTGATCTACCACCATAAAATTTTGCAGCTCCTCACTAGTTGTTTGAAACTGCTTTATCAACTCGCTTTGTGGCTGATGATCCTCCAAGTCCTGTTCGTATTCTCTTTCCAAGCTTTACTAATAAAGTTGACTGCATCTAGCATATTAATGGAAAATTTGTCTTCGGACTAGACCATTTCCATTAAAATGTTTTTCCTGTATCGACTCTTAAGACTTTTTATTACGCTCTGGTCCATCGGCTGTAATACACTTGTTGTTTTGGCTGGAAGAAATGCCATTCAATATTCCGTAATTTGGAATATGGAGATGTGCAGGGCAGTTATCTAAGAGAAGTAATATTTTCCTCCCCTTTAATTCTGAATCCCATTTCCGTATCTCACCAGCCAATGCTCGATGTTCTTAAAACATCGTAGGTTAGTTGATTTTCCAATCACGACTAGCTTCCTTTTTTCTCTCCCACTCATATTGGCAGCTACTCACTTTTCTTTTTCCCCGTTCTATCTCCCGAATTAAAGCAACTTTATCATTTCGCCGTATTCACTAAGTCAAATTAGAACTGATTGAAACAATGGTGTGCTTTTATACATACCGATAAAGGCATTAACATAATCGCTTATTACGAGAATAACGCTTAGGACGACCAGGTTCTCGGTATTAGATTATTAGGGTAAGGAATTCTGAGAAGGTAAGAAACTCTATTAATTACAAATCGACCCAGATTCCTTAGTTTGTTACCTTATGTGCCCTTTTTTCTTTCGGTATAGAGAGTGAGAAATCCTTTATACAGAGTGGACTAATACATAGCTTTGTATGGAGACCTAATAGTCCAACAAATTTTGTTCGTAATACAGAGTTTCGCTATAGGGAGTTTTCACTTTCAACGAGGGATTCTACGTCGAAACTAACCATAAATGTTCGATTGTATTGAGGTCGCGACTGCATGCTGGCTACTTAATAAATCGACTTCTAAAATCTTGTGCAATCCTTGCGGTGTGCAGCCTAGCATTCTCATGCATAAAAATGAATTCTTCTCCAATGTAGTCGACATATGAAACAGATAAAAACAGGGCGGTTCGTTGTACCCCATATCATAGTATTGTGTATATTATAGCAAGTGTATTACCAATATAAGTTATTTAAATACAAGTTTCTTGATCGTCTACATAATTTTGTTTCTGAAGGATGGTATTGAAGCAGATTTGCAAAGCAGATGTTCAAAAGTGCCCCCCGCTATTTGAACAAATGATGTTTATTTATTTATTAAAATAATTGAACAAGTTCATTTTATATTCTTTTACAGTTGTGAATCACAATGGAAAGAAATTTAAAAAAAGCGAGAGCTGTATTGTGCGTTGTCAATGATAGCATGAAACAGGACCGCTGCTGCTATATATAATATAAAACCAACCACTTTGTACTATAGAGTAAAGACATATAAAGAAAATGTAATGCCAAACAATATAAACAAATAGCAGCGAACGCACTGTGCATCAAGTTTTCACTAATGATGAGGAACTTATGCTGGAAAGTTACTTTTTAAAAATGTCCAAAATGAATAATGGTCTTTCCTACTTACAAGGTTGATAATTGGCATATCAGTAAATTTTACTTTAAAATTTTTATTGACGCATTTAGCATTTACAATATAGTTTAACCTAAGAAAAATAGTATCCACACATGTCAATCGAGTAATAATACTTAATCCAAACAACACTTACAATTTCTAAACTACCAAGTTTACAAGGCGGTGGGTTGATTAAAAACAGTTTTCTTCACTTTACAATTAAATGATTCAAAGGAGAGTTAACGCCATAGTCGGTCCTATGAAAATCAATGTTGAAAAGGGACGTTATTTCTTGCAGCAGTGTCAATAAGTGTCCTCAAAAATGGTTAGATAACAAAAGTGCGGGCATTGAATGGATGAAAAACTTTTTGAAAAGGCAGCAAGTATTATCTTTGCGAAAACACGAAAATCAACAGGAACACTGAAAATATAAGGGAAAAAGTTACGCCTGAAGCAATAAGACCTTTTCCTAAAGCAACTCCTCGTACCGAAAGAAAAGGCAAAAAGTAGAAGCTGCTTATTTAAATCGTATGAAACGCAAGCCTTCAATTCTGCCTCTATCAAAACGAGTAGAATATATGCCTAAGAACGATACGTATAAAAACAAAGAATCTGACGGAAATATATCTTTTCATGATGATTTTGATATGGATTTAACAGATGGTCAAAATAATTCTGAGTCTGATAATCTAGTTGATGAAAGGGAATCAATTCAATCCTTGACAATTGAGAATTTAAATGAAAATAACTATATATTTGTGTGTGTCACTCTGCAAAAAAGGAATCACAGATGTTTTCCGTAGCTTTTATTAAACATAATGATCAAAATATGTTTCTAGTTTCTTTTTAAAAAAAGAAATTTAAATTTTTGTTTCCTGACAAAGAAGACCAATCCTGCACACTTATCACTGATATTGTAAGGAAACTCCAGGAACTTCTCGTATATCTGCTCTATTAACTTTCAAATTTGATTTTAGTAAATTTAAACTAGGTTAGGTACTATTAACAAAATTTTGAAGCTGTTCGTTTTTTTTTTGACTATTTATTTCTAAGTTTGCCAATAAGGCGATTTGGATTGTTTATTTTGTGTTTGATATTTGAACAAAAATGTGTTTTTGAAAAATAGTAATAAGTAAAAAAGTAAAAAAAGTAAATTTAATTTTTATTTTATAGCACAAATAGCATATCTATTCATAAAAAAATTATACGAGGGTAGCGCCAAAATTTCCCGGCCTGACATAGATTGCTGCTCCAGCACCACGATAAAACTTTGTCTTCTTTTAAATATATATCATGGTAGGCTGTGAAAAAATAATTGAAGTCTTTCGTCAAATAGTTTTTTATTGACAGCATTTTAAACAAGACGTGTCCTAAAAAATTTCGCAAATAACGCAAATTGAGTATAGAGCAGACATAAATTTTTTGACAAAAAAGGGTTAGCACCTAAAATTATTAAAGAAAGGCTGGATGGTGTGTACGGCCAAAGTTCTCCTTCGTATTCTTCTGAAAGATTCTTTTTTTCTTCTTTAGATAGATTTTAAAGAAACTAATACCACTGTCAATGGTAAATATTACGCAACATTATTCCATAAAATGCGAGACTGCATACGTGTAAATCGTCGAGCAAAACTGACCAGAGGCGTACGTCTTTTTCACGATAATGCACCTGTCCATACTGCTGGTGTTGCACAAGCTGCCATTTTAGAGTGCGGATTCCAAGAGATAGATCATTCTCCCTATAGTCCAGATATTGCCCCCAGCGACTATTTTTTGCTTGGATATTTGAAAAAGGACTTACGTAGACGGCGGTTTAACGAGGAAGTTGAGTTAAAAGAGGCTGTTTTAACTCATTTTGCAGACAAACAAAAAGAATATTTCTTTAAAGGGATTGAGTTGTTAATAAAGAGATGTAATAAGTGTATTGAAGTTAAGGGGGATTATACTGAAAAATAATAACAGATTGTTACTCTACTTTGTTTCTTTCATTTTCAGGCAGGGAAATTTTTCGTATACCTTGATATGTAGCACAATATGACAAACATAATATTTGAATTAAAAAGTGTTCAAAGGTGTCACCCTTTCCCCTACTGATAAACGCTTTAAAATCGGCTTTTCGTTTGTTTATTCAACGCGACTCATGGTGACATCCTCTTCGGACTGTCAGAATTTCACAATGCGAAATTCTAAATATACGTGCGCGTCTATCGAAAAAACCCACGATCCGAAATTACTGTAAACAGCGTGGCCAGAAGTCAAGATCTCAATTATTGAGATGGCGATAAGGCGATAACCCTGTGGGTCTAGACGCGTCTAGGGGCTGGTGTGTTGCCATAATAACAGTGTTAATAACTTATAACGCGCATTTTTACAGATGCGTAACCGTCGAGATATCGTTCGTAATTCGATATTTATGTTAAATGAAATAGGCCGAACGAAAAATTCGATAATTGAAACATTAGAGAACGAATCGTAACAAGTGTAATTTTTTTGTTTTCGTTTTAGATTGCGTTTATAAGTTTATAAAACTTAAAAATAACGGGTTTAAAAATGCGAAATGAAATTTCTTTAATAACCTTTCCTGCACATCTATTGCTTTTTCTTAATACCAAAAGCCTTTCACTATGCTTTCAATATTACAAAAAATGCGGGAGCTCCAATATTTGAACTAGAAATGAGCAAATATATTTGGATCACTTTGAATTAAAAATGCTTATTTTTACACCTTTCAAATTCGTTATCTTTGAGTCTGATTATATAGCAATCCAATCCAATTTAAGAGACCCACATCTAAAATGTAAATATTGAAGTATTTTTTTAACTTTGAAAAAATACGATTTTCTCAAAAACTGTTCAACAGATCGCCAAAATTCTAGAACCAGGAAATGCGGAAGATCTAGGTCTGTGACCTTTATTTCGGGCATTTTTTCGATTATCAAGTACCGCTGCTCGAGATATTTGAGAAAATCCATATGAAAATAACGCTTTGTCTAGACGCAATGACGTCATGTTACTCTATTGAAAAAATATCATGAACCAGTAAACGGGGGAAAACCGGGGCTCTCGCCTCTAGCTTTAGCATTTTTTCGATAATGTGTGTGTCTTTAATTGGCAAAAAAATCAAAAATATTATTTTGTGGTACTAGCAGTTGAAATTTCGGCTCTGATGATATATTCCGGGATATCATCTGTTCGTTTGTTGAACTCCGACTGGAATCCTGCAGACGTTTCGCCAAGATCTCACTTGGCATCTCCCAGTTTTCGAAGTGCGAGCATTGAAGATGCCAAGTGAGAACTTGGCGAAACGTCGTAATCATTGGTAACGGCTGTCTTGCATTGTGTCTGGCATTTTATTGGCGACTATGTTTATATATAATATAATTTATTTACATTTAAAAATGTAATAACAATTATGAGTTTATTTGATTTGATATAGCTGAGTGACGATTGAAACAACACAAGAAGATTACAGATCATTTTACTGGAAACAACTTTTGCATTCAAACTTTTTTCATAACACGCGTAGATTTCGAGATAAGGTATAGGCCACCCCAACACCAGTTTCTTTCCAATTTAAATGGCCCTTTATAATTATTTCCATTCCGTACGTAATAGTTACGCAATGTGTTGGCTTTCAGTTCTGACTGGTTTGGTGCTACTGTTTACCTTCAGCGCTCTCGGTACGGTGATCATGTGGTTCACCAAAGTATACCAGCAGTCCATAAACAACATGATGACCATCACCGAGGACTCTCTCGCCTTCGACATGTGGCGGGCGCCCTCGCCCCGCCCGTACATGAAGTTTTTCATTTTCAATTACACCAACGTGGAAGATTACGAGAGAAGGAGCGCTAAAAAGCTGCACGTGGAGGAGGCAGGACCTTACGTATACGAAGAGCAACTGGAAAGGGTGAACGTAAGGTTTAACGGCGACGGGACAGTGTCGTATCAAGAAAAAAGGACATACAAATTCATCCCTGAACTCTCGAAGGGCTCCCCACACGATTTGGTGACAGTGCCGAACGTGCCCGTCATAGCGGGAGCAGCTGTCGCCAGAAACTGGAATTTCTTCATGAGGCTGAGCTACTCGGGCTTGCTGAAGAGCCTGAACGAGAAACCTTTCATCACATTGACCGCGAACTCTCTCATAGTGGGGTACGAAGACCACTTGTACGACATCGCCAAGAACTACCTCAAGTTGCAAGAGAAGAGGGTATTCGATCACGTCGGTGAGTTGATCCAACGTTTCTTATACTCGGTTTTCAGCAGAGACAAGTCACGGGGAGCCAAAAGTAATAACAGTGGCACAGTGGGACTCATTGTTCAGTCTTTGATCTCCTGGCATAAATTCACATTGCTATAATTCATGAAAACCATGAGCATTGAATTCTTTAACTCGTCTGGTAAATCGAAATTTTCGAAAGTATCTACGCCCGTATAAAAATTTTATATATCGGTAATGGTAGGACCTATGGGATCGCCATTGTCCGTTCTCCGTAATTTGCCTCCTTTCTAAACCCTGCATGGGATACATTAGCTTGTAAGAAATGGCCTCGATCCGACTTCGGAATCCATCTTTTCTTCACAATTTTCGACTGTTTCTTAAACATTGCTTTGAAACACGATAAGTGTCCGAAATCTGAAGCAATTGACTTCATATTTAGCACATATATGCAGTTTTGCCCTCCGATGGAACCTATTAAAAATGGGGGGGGGGGGATCGGAAAGCATTTTAAAAAAATTAAAAATCGCGTGTGCAAGGGTATACAACAAAGACCATTTTTCAAAAACCGTTTGCAAGACCGAAAAAATTCTTGAAACAATTCTTGACAATTTTACAAAAATATACAGGGTGCGCCGCAAATTAAAAAAAAATGAAAAATGGGTCCCCCTATTATTGAAAATTGGCAATAATTTGAAATGTGTGTTTTAGATGTCAGTTTCTTTTACATGACGATGGGCCATATAAACAGCTAAAACGTTTGTATTTAAGGTTTTTAAGTATTGTACAGGGTGTTCGCGATATTCCGTGCAAAATTAAAAAACATAATAAGTGCTCCAAATTTGCAATTACCGATTTCAGACTTGGGAGAGAAGTAGAAGTCTGGACCCGCATTTAGACTTTTAAATATGGAGAAATAAAATAACGCAAAGTATTTTTTTTGGTTATTTTGGTATACAGAAAAACATCTTTTCCTCCAAAACCATTCATCCGATCGGAAAAATTTTACTACCGTAATACGTGGGAGACCCGGCACTATAACTTTTGTTTCACGCATTTTTTCGATTATACACAAGGTGCTCGTGTTCGAGATAAAAATTACCATTTCTCGCCCTCAATATAGAGGCGATGACGTAATTTAATATTACCACGTACTGCATGGTTTCAGAAAACAAGTAGTTTTTTGAAAACCATTGCAAAAATTCGAATACCAGTAAACTAAGGGATCCAACATTGTTGGAATTATACACAGGTTACAAGTCAAAAAATTCTAATAGATCCTAGAAATTTCCGGTTTTGTAGGTGAATTATTGGCGATAAATGAAAAGCTTTTAAAGATGTGAAAATTTGATATGAACAGTATCGTAAACTGTGTCGAGAGAGAGGATTTAAGGTTTCGTCTATAATATAGGAGACGCGAGATATTTGAAAAAATATAGGGTGGTTTTTACTGATAAAAATTAATTTATCAAAATAAATAAGAACTAAAAGTTCAGATTTTCACGAAATTATATATATTCACACGACAAAGGAAAACAAGATTTTAGGGCATCTAAAAAAATATATAATATATATCAAATGTCACATTTCATAAAAACACGGTGTTGTCGAAACAATTCTGAACAAATCTGAACTTTTAGTTCTTATTTATTTTGCAATTACCAGTACAAATTTTAATATTTATTGAAGTTTGCCGTAACTTTGAAGTACGACGAGATGTGAATGACACTTTATACAGGGTGTATTCACCACAAGTTCCATAGTGGTCTGCAGGAGCACGATAGTAAAAACAATGCGCCCCTTTAGCTGATTCGCGATACATGCGACGAACTTGTCCAGCCCAGTGACGATTTTTTGAAAGGAATTTTGTTTCGAATTTTGAGAAAATATGAACGCAGTTTTTTTCCAGGACTTTTGGTGTGGAAAGAGGGAGTTCAACCTGACGTCATCACGGTAAATACAGGTACCAGAGACTACGGCAAGCTGGGCAGGATAGAAAAATTCAATGGCCAAGATCATCTAGACTTGTGGTCGTCCGATACGTGTAACCGTCTCAAGATATCCGACGGCACCGTCTATCCCGTGGACCAAGTGAAATCGAAGAAGGAACTGCACTTTTTCCTGCCGCAGTTGTGCAGGGCTTTGACTTTGAAATTCGTCGAAGAAAGCCAGGTTTTAGACCGGGTTCCTGTCTATAAATACACGTTCCCCGTCGATATTTTCGACAACGCGGATCAGAATGGCGACCACAGGTGTTACTGCGAGAAAGGAAGTGACAGTTGCGGGACTCGAGGCGTTTTCAACGCAAGCGCCTGCGTTTGGGGTGAGTTTAGCAGGAAATTATAATAATAATATACATTATTACACTACAAAATATTAGATGGTACCACTTTTAAGTGAAATTACCCTAAGAACAAGAAAAAAATTAAAATAAACAAAATTAAGAGTGGTTTTCCGATACAGAAATTATCGTGTTCCAAGAAGATATTTTTTATACCGGTTTTTAAATGTTTTGGTTGATATTGTTAAATCGAAATGCTATAAGAAAATGACCTTTTATACATTTCTTTTCGATGTTGTCAATATAATTTTTTTCTTAGATTCAAGTCATGAACATCTGTACGAAAACCGATTTTGCTAAAAAGTTATTCAAAAACACAGAACTGAAGTTTCATTATTGCAAAACACTTAGAAAGATAAGACGATATTATAAATGTGGAGTTTGGACTATCTCTTAATATTTTTGTCAAAACTCTGTCTCTCTAATTATTGTCGTAAGTGCTTGTAGTGACTCCAAAAACACAGAATTGACGTTTCATTATTGTAAAAAACTGCTTGCTTTGTATCAGAAAGATAAGAGGATATGATGAGTGATGTTCCTTTGGATATTCGACTATTTGACTATAAATACTAAACAATAAAGGTCCCAAAATCGAACCTTGGGGCACATCAGTACTGATTAGGGTACAGTTAGATTAAATTGTCTTCTTACTTCAACACATTGCTCAGATATTGCTATATGAACTTAACATATCCAGCTGAGAAATCGAAATAATGAAAGTAGCTTCCCTCTTATCTTAACTAGACTGATAGTTGTGCTAAAATGTGTTCTAAGCCTTACCTGCCAGTCTTGAAATTTACAAAGGAATACATTTGTTGGTATTTTTGAAAAAACTCGGTGTTAGATCTTTTGGCTCACACAAATTTGATATTTAAACAATCAGTTTTATAATGGCCTTTTTTCCAAACGGTGGAATAATAATCAATTTAGATGCGGCTGTTAATAAAATTTACTAAATTATTTGTACAGTATGTATTGTATTTTTAGAAAAACTGTTTGAAGGTTTGAATGTTGAAGAATTAAAAAAACTACCAAAAAATTAAAATAGGTTGTGCCTTTAAAAAAAATGTATGTTTTATTCGCCACCTTTTAAAATAATTTCAAATCCTTGCAACTTTTTTATTAGTCATTTCTTTACTTTCTTAACGTCCACAAACACATACTTAAACTAAACCCAAATTGCTCCCGTGCGACCATTGTAGATTTTTGAAAAAATGGGGTTAGGTATATGATACTATCGTCATCGAACCACTTCAACAGTTCGGTGGGGATTCTATGTGGGTCAAGTTTTTTGTTAGCGTAATAATTTTAGATTTTTGTTTTGTGTAGATGGAAATGATGGTCGCGATATAATTTTCTGAAGCATTCTCCTTTGCTTATTTTTATTTTTACAGTTCCTTCTATGTTTAATCTTTTCTAGGATTACTTTTTATAAAACTTCTGGTTTCCTCCTGCGTCTGTTTTTGTTAACTCGAATTAGCTAGCGCCATCATCCTGTTGGCTTCTTCAGAGCTTGACTAAAACGGTGTTTAAGCTCTGAAGAAACCACCAGGATGATTGACAAAACGTTAACTAGTTCGACTCAACAAAAACCGACCTTGGCTTATCTGCTCCGCACTTGATTTTATTTTATTTACTCCAAACCAACGATCTATTGATATAAACTAGTCTATAATTAACTGAGCAAAGAACCGATAATCATAATCTTATTGCTTACAGGGGCCCCGATTTACTATTCCTGGCCGTACTTCTACAACGCGGATCCCCAGTTGAGGGCGGCCATTTCTGGTTTAAAAAGGAACCCCGCCAAGCCGGAGGTGTACGTCAACATCCATCCGAAACTTGGTGTTTTGACAGGGGGAAAAGTAAAATTCCAAGTCAACATCCAAATGCAAAAATCCTACGGGATATCCGAGCTGAACAACTACAAAGACGGCCAAATACTACCCATCGTGTTGATCGAAAGTGTACGTATAGCAAGCACGCATTTTTAGCTGGCTTTATGCATTGTGGGCAACGATAGAGTAAAGTTTATTATCTCGTTGGTCTCGAAAGTTATGAGAAAATGGAAATACAAAGTTGCCAGGATGCACAATTGGTTTTGAATTTTGTATAGGCCACTGTAGTGCTATTTACAAAAATTCTGGGTTCGTCCTGCGTCGGTTTTTGCTGAGTCTATTTTCGAAACCGTCAACATCGTTTCAGACATATGAAATTCCCAAAATCTGGAACCAAACCTTCTCCCCTTAATTTTAATGCTTGAGTGGAAAACATTGTTTTTATAACGGTCAAATCTTTGAACAAACGTCGGGAACAGCTCTCCATTACCACCTTCCATCTAAAACCAAAATTATGCAAACGCTACGTCGATGGTACTTTTGTTCTTTGGCCTGATGATCAGGAATCCCTATTAGATGTTTTTAGACATTTAGAATCTATACACCATAACATACGTTTTACCATTGAATTAGAAACTAATAACAACTTCCCATTGGGTTATTGTGTTTATAGAAAACCTACGCACACAGACCGATACCTTAATGCATTGTCATATCACCATCCGGCCCAAAACCCATTGGTTATCGACTCTATTGTTTACAGAGCCCTAAAACCGTCTCAGCCGGAGTCACTGAACCCAGAATTAAAACACCTTACCTCTGCTCTTCTCTCTAATAATTCCCACATTAAAGATATTAAACGTTCCATCACAAATTACACCTCACCGTACCCTTCAAATGAGTCTGAAAACAATCCCACACTTGGCACTGTCGTCCTTCCATTCATTCAAAACATCACTGAGCACATATCAAAAGTTCTTAACAAATATAAAGTCAAAACCAGATTTACCACTGGTCCCAAAAATCTATCAACATCTTCGATCCATCACAGACAAAATTCCAAGAACATGAAAGGACCTTAAGACTAAGACAAACAAAATCATCAGCAGTTGTCGAACCCAATCACGAAACCGGACATTTCGATAAAACTAAAATTCTTGCATGCAATCAATTCTTCTACCATCGAAAAATCCGAGGGTCTATAGAAGTCTATAAGCACCCTAACAATCATAACGGCGGCTCAAGTCACCAATATGGGACGATGTTTATGACCCTCATTTAGATCCGCCACCCCCTCAAACAATATAAAAGCAGTGTGCGTGCGGGAACGCAATTGGGAGAATCCTTCGATGAAAATGAACTGCTTCTACACGTTGTGATAGCAAGACGGCGACTGGGGAGGCTGGCGCACGGGTGCGACGTTGATGCGCAGCGAGGTTGCCGAATGAGAATGTTAGCGTTAATCGCGCGGTTTTTTTAAACTTAAACATCTTTCCCCCCCCCCCCCCCCCCCCGTTGAAGCGTAGTCTTCAACCTAGTCTAGAGGCAAAGGTGCGAGAGCTTTGTAATAGGTCGCACGAAGACTCCATCTTTCGTTTTAATTTCCGCTACTCTGACCTTATTATCAGAACCAGGCATTAAATTTAGTATTCTTGCTAAGGACCAGTAAAGCGGGGGTGTGTTGTCCTCTTTTACCAAGACTAACCTATTAGGTTGAAGATTCTTGAGGGGTTTAATCCAATTGGGTTTATGTTGAAGTCTGTTAAGATATTCGACGGAAAATCTTTTTCAGAATAAATGTCTAATTTTGGAACATTGTTGCCAAAAAGAAATTCTGTTGAAATTTGAAAAACGAGAAAAGATGTCTGCAAACTTTGGAAATGCGTTACTATGCGCTGACACGTGTCTTTGTTCCGGCAAAGCGTGTAGCTTTAAAATTCGCGGGACAGTTTCTAAAAAAATATTTTTCTGGTGAATTACCTTCGGACAATTGGTTTAGTGCTACATATTTACCGTGATTTAAATTGACATATTCATCAATAAATGATTTATATCTTAGAAACAGATCTTGATCTCTTAGAAATCGTTTTCAAAGAGATGAAACGCTGTTTAACGAATTTGAATGAATCACCTAACTGGGAGGGGGCATTTTCGCTACGAAAGGGTAAATTTACTTGAGATGTACCGTCAGACAATTGTTGTGTTGGTTGACTAAATATGGACTCACATTGTTTATCTTCTGGAGATAAGAACGTTTTCTGAGGGTACTCCTCTAATTTCCCAAAATTTAGGAAGTAATTCATTAAGATCAGGTGTCGAGGTGAATAGAGCGGTGCTCAACAGTGATTGAACAGAAAGGTTTTGCATTGGAGTGGGTCCACCGACAACCCATCCTAAACGTGTGTTTTGGAGTGTTGGCAGATTTTTTCCAAGGTTTATAATTCCAGGAGCCATTAAATCGTAGTATAGGTCTGCACCTATAAGAATGTCAATTTGAGAAGGGCAGTAAAATTGATCATCTGCTAGAGATAAATTTGGTGGTATGTTTATTTGACTTAAATCAACTTGGATGTGAGGGAGAACCGATGTGATTTTGTCTAAAATAGCACAAGTTGCTAAAATAGAAAAATCTTCCTTTCAAGAGCAAATTTTTAAGCTTACTGCTTTAGTAATTTGACTTGTTTTGTTTCCTATTCCAGTGACAGACATGTCAAATTTAAAAGATTGTGTGCATAACTTTTTGAATGCTTCATTCTGAATCTAAAAGAGCACGAGCTTAAATTTTACATCCAGTTTTAGACAGAAGGATGACCTTAGAAGTTGCTGAAAGAACTTGAGTGTTGTTGAGAGACGAGCATGAAATGTTACTTGGAGAAGGATTTTCATTTGAAGTGTTTGCCGAAACCAGAGTTGTATGTTCATTCTGGGTATCAGTCTCTTGACTGACTTGAGCGTTTGGGCAGAGTTGGTCATTGATAGCGGGAGAAGATTCTGCGCAAACTGAACAACATCGAGTGGAAGTACAGCTCGAAGCAATGTGTTTGTTGCCTAGGCAATTTAAACACAACTTGTTTTGCATCACGAATTGTTTTCTTTGAGCCGGAGTGTGCTTAATGAACTTCATACATTTGTAAATAGTATGATTTTTCATTTTGCAATAATAACATTCAAAATTGAAATTGGTATTTTGAGAACTTTCACTTGAAACATGCGCAAATCTTTGCGGTTTTGATTTGCTGTCTACATTTGTATAACCTGTCAAAGTTTCTAATGATGAACACTGTTTTTCTAAAAATTCATTTAATGTGGGATGTAAAATGCTGTGTGTTTTCCTGCGGGTTTTGTTTAGATCCTCGGGAACAGCGGGGTTGCTGTCTGGTCGAAACTCGAGTTTTGAAAGCCGAGTGCTTTCTTCCTGGGCGTTTGAAAGCCTTTCCTGGGGGTGTGAAAGCCGCGTGCTTTCTTTCCGGGAGTTTGGAAGAAGGGTGCTTCCTTTCTGGGAGCTGAGAAAGCCGGGTGCTTTCTTTCCGGGGTGTTTGAAAGCCGTCTGCTTTCTGGGGGGATTGGAAAACCGTCTCCTTTCCTCCGAGCCAATTTTGAGCCGCGACTTACTTCACTTGTTGCGAGGGTATGCGACGAACGAACCGAATGAATTATCCGGCTCGAAGGACCAAAAAATGTGCGTGCGGGAACGCAATTGGGAGAATCCTTCGATGAAAATGAACTGCTTTCCTTTTGAACAATTTTGTTTGCACACTTGTACAAACCGAACAAATTTGCGTCTTAATTCAGGAGGTTTTGAAATAGCTTCTGCACGTTGTGATAGCAAGACTGGGGAGGCTGGCGCGCGGGTGCGACATTGATGCGCAGCGAGGTTGCCGAATGAGAATGTAGCGTTAATCGCGCGGTTTTTTTAAACTTAAACCAACAGGTACAGAGCAAAATGCGAGCCAGTTCAAGTCTTTAGAAGCCAACACTAATACTAGTTATTACCAAAAAAAACATAACTCGTATTTAACATTAGAGTTAATCGAAAATGACGTAAAAGACGCGATTTTAATAAGCCAATCTTCAGTGATTCAATAAATTATGATTGCAAACTTACAAAAGGTCAATACACCAAACACCGGAGAATATTTTCCATGACTTCAAACTGAACATATCACACATTCAAAGTATGTTGGTATATCATTATTATTATCAAACTCGGTTCTTAAGGACTCTTTGACCCTTAAAGAGTTTCTGGACTGAATTTTATTTAAAGGACAGCTTAAGCAATAAGGAAGCTTCAAGAATGGTTATAAATTTGACTCTCAAGTTTTTTATTAAAAACGATTAATAATTAATAATTATAATAAAAATGTGGGTACAAAACAATGTTAAAAAGAAACATTATTTAAAGCAATCATTAATTTTTTTAACTAATGAGGTACTTCTAGGTATTCTTCCCCATTGAACAACAGCAGATTCGTATTCGAGACCGCCTAAAAGTAGACCAGAGTTTACCTGGTATTTTCTGTGTGATTAAAGACATTTAAAGAATGACGGTAATAGAAAGATTTCTGATGGATATTTGTTTCTTAGTATCGTCTTAAAACAAGATCATGAATCATATATATATATATATATATATATATATATATATATATATATATATATATATATATATATATATATATATATATATATATATATATATATATATATATATATATATATATATATATATATATATATATATATATATATATAAACAAAAAAGTTACAGTCAATTAAAATGTCACCAAGATAAATTGTACCGTGCGACATCCCTTGTCCATAACAGTCAACCGACAATGGCTTAGTATTTCCAGTTTTGATTTGCGTTTTCGTCAGAACAAATTTCCGTTACAGGGATTGGATGAGAAAGATCTTCCTCGGAATGTGATCGAGCTGATATACAGAGCAACGTTCACTGTGAGAAATCTCGAGCTGGGACTTAAGTACGGTTTTCTGCTGGCCAGCACGGTTACGTTGGCGTGCATTCTGTTGGTATTGAAGAAAAGACGTGAAATCAGACTCCGAGCGAACAGTATCGGATATCTGAGAACCGGACGCCACGTGACATCGTTGTGAGTGCCTAAGTATCGAGCAGGGTGAATCGACAACGTGTAATACTCAGTATCGAATATACTCAATTCTCGAAGCAGTATCGAATATACTCACTCTTTAAAGTATTTTTGTGCAGAGCTGGGTGCGGCCCTGACGCCGAGTTTATTGTAGACATTTTCATGATTAATATACAGGATCGTCGGCGTAACAAACAATGTTGCGGGCAAAGTGGAAGGTTTTCAAAACGTTTTCTTAAAACACAACACAATGAGGGTGTGAAAGTTACCGTTTAATGTTTGTAATTTATGTCTTTCTCGCACATAACAGTTTTGAACTGACAAAAGTAACTTTGTGCCCTAAACCAAACACAAAAAACCTTCTACAAGTAAATAAGTAAATGAATGAGCAGTGCAGTAATCGGAAACTATAGGCTGGTTCATATAACTTATTTCGATAAGTGCGTTAAATACAAAAATTGTTTGATCCTAACTAAAACGGATCTTTGGTAAAATACAGTGTGTCCCACTTAAGAACTGCACACAGTTGTGAAACCTTGTTTAGGGATGCACTTGTTTTGCTTATTGCTTCAACTTAGAATCATGGCCATCTGAGACTATTTAACAAAAGTGAGAAGAGGAATACTATCCGGGATTTATTCAGGACTACATAAAACCTACAAATGAAACAACAAATGACATTTATTTTATCATAATTAAAACATTTATTCCAATATTTTAGAGAAAAAAAATTGAAAAGTCACCAGGTTTAACGTTGTTTTTGCACAAGAATGTCTCTATCTACAACTGTACCTTCTAACCAATCTGTATATCCCATTGTAATATACATATTCAAATCTTGTCGGCGAAAGTGGCTTTTGCCTTGTACGCCAAAAATAAAATATTTGTTGCGATCCAAACGTATTTACTTTTGATATAGTGAATGTACGACTATGAAAAATCAACTCAAAGCAGTTCTTGCGAAGAAGTTTAGGCTCGAAAAGAATTAAATTTACACCCAAAAAAAAATTTATTGATGGGATTGATTTTCTTATATCTTATTCTATAATGACATTTTTAAAATACATAAAGACTAAAAATATATAAAAATTTGACTATATGACAGCTGTTTCGGCAATACCGTGCCTTTATCAAATGTATCAAAGGTATGAGGAAAGAAATGCATGGCACAAGCCAATAGAAATGCTGACGTCTCCAGCCACTTCCCTAATAGTCATTCGATGATTTTCAACACATTGAAAATAATAATTTTTGTGGGACTTTGACTTGAGGGTTTTTTGATTTTGGTTTAGTTACGTCTGATATCATAAAGCTCGAACGAACAAATACCATGTTACATATTCAAAAAGTCAAACTTTTCGAAAGCCTAATTTCTGTGTGCTTTATTAATTTTTTTAACTTTCGACAAAAAATTTCGAAAAAAAAAATACGTTTCACCGATTATATTAATTGGTTCTTCTTATCATGTAAAAGTTACGCCAGTGTAATTTATTTATCGAGGTGCGATACTATGTGGTTCATAATACTTTTGGTTTTTGAGACTGAATAGGTAGATACGAATTTTGTCGTTAAAAGTACGAAATGATGAGTAAAAGTTTATACAATGGCGTTGTTTTATTTATTGAAAAATCGAGCAAAGAAGAAGAAGATGAATTACTTGGAAATTCCAAAATCGTGTGTTTTGTTATTATTTGGCATGTTTTGCAAGAGAACCGGTTAAGTTTTGCAAGAAATTGACGCTAAAACACATACTGATACGCTGCATAAACAAACAAATTTTTTTTTCCAAATAAACTTCCAGAGGCTTCTCTAATAATGATAATGTTCATTTCCATCGGCTTCTAACAAAAGTATCGGATAATGTCAATGTCAATGTCAAAATACAAACTATAAAAACAGATACATACAAACATACATCAAGAAAAGAAAAAAATAAGAACACACAAAGTATATAACACTGAGAGATCGGCATTTCTACAATCAAAGTATTCATCGATAGAATAAAAAACGTTCTTATTCAAAATGAACTTTAATTTTTGCTTAAATAAATGGACAGGCAAGATCTGTTTGACGGACAAAGGCAACTTATTGCTGTATTGGTAAAATCATAGGGCTGTTAGCTACTTTGACTAACTTACGACTTGGCACCTGCAAATTAAGATTGGCTCTAAAATTGTAATCTCCATCAATTCTGCAATAATTAGATAGATCAGAGAGAGGGAAACGTTAAAATATTTAATTTTGGGAACAGGGTTCTACAAGAGTGACCATGACAATTCTCGAACATTGTTCGAACAATACGTTTTTGTTGGACAAAAATTCACTAGCTTTGGAGGAGTTTCCCCAGCGTATAATAGCGTAAAATAAGCAAGAGCGAACATATCCGAAATAATACAATAGTAAAAGCTGAAGATCCACACTCGACGCAGTCGCCAAATAACAAAAGTATGCATAGCCATTTTGTTTAATACGTAGTCAATTTAGCATGTCCAACACAAATATTTGACAACGTTAGTCTGACTAATCGATTTATCCTGCATTGTAACCAATAAGCTCTTGTTCGAATCCCTTAAGGAAAACATCATCTCAGTCTTTGTCCCGTTCAAACAAATACCGTTACTCTCGCAATATCGCTTACTGCCCTAGTGGCCAAGGACGTGAGACTTTCCAAACTCCTAGATGACACTGAAACAGCAGTATCATCTGCATATAAGGAAACATATTTGTCTGGGAAACAATCAGATATATCATTTATAAATATTATATATAATAAAGGCCCTAGTATGCTTCCCTGTGGGACATCGATGGTGAGTTCTTTAGATGAAGATGTAATGATAGTAGTATCACCTCTAACCACAACTCTTTGGCCACGACCCTTCAAAAACGACTCAATCCAGGCGTAACTATTCCCCCGTATACTGCAATTATTTAATTTATTCAACAACAAATTAATATCAAGCACATCAAAAGCTCGCTTGAAGTCAAACAACATATATAATGTTTTATTATTCTGATTGAAGTTCGAGACTATTCCATTATATAAGGAAACTAAACAGTCTTGAGTAGTATAAATGCATCGAGCCGCAGGTGAAAACACTTTTCGAATATTTTGGAAAAACCCGATAGAACTGATATTCCACGATAATTAGAAATTAAATGGGTATTGTTCTTCTTGTGTATAGGTACAACAATGAAGTGTTTTAAGGCTGAGGGAAATACACCTTCTGAAAAGGACAGATTAATCAAAAAAGTAAGAGGTTGAACTACATGGTATTTCATCGTACCCAGATTGACAAAAAAATAAATAAGGTGCTAAGAATAGACTTCGACTTAAAGATTTTTTATTAGTTGTTTGTGTTGTTTTTATAGTATTTATTATTTCTCTAACGGAATCCACAAAAAAGTCGTTAAATTTTTCAAAGGTCGCGTGTAAATCGACATACTTGCTACGTTCATCATCAGTGATGTAATCTGTCGAACAATTCCTGAAATTTTTTATAGAATAAGTCAAATTTCTCGTCATCTGCACCAACACCGTCAAACAAAAACTGCCAGTCCACCCTAGATACTTCCACCTGGAATTCATTTATGTTACTTTCACTTTTAAAACAACGTTTGTAGAAAAAAGACTGAGGAAAGTTGCAAAAAGATATAGATACCATTTGCATAAAATGATCAGAAAAATCACAGGGAATAATTGCTGACTGAAAGAAAGTCAATTGAATATTCGTAAAGATATTGTCGATTATAGACATGGACCCATTATGGATTCGAGAGTATTCGGTTACAGTTTTACTGAACCCGTAACTTGCAAATGTATTTACAATATTAACAACATATATAATGTTTTATTATTCTGATTGAAGTTCGAGACTATTCCATTATATAAGGAAACTAAACAGTCTTGAGTAGTATAAATGCATCGAGCCGCAGGTGAAAACACTTTTCGAATATTTTGGAAAAACCCGATAGAACTGATATTCCACGATAATTAGAAATTAAATGGGTATTGTTCTTCTTGTGTATAGGTACAACAATGAAGTGTTTTAAGGCTGAGGGAAATACACCTTCTGAAAAGGACAGATTAATCAAAAAAGTAAGAGGTTGAACTACATGGTATTTCATCGTACCCAGATTGACAAAATAATAAATAAGGTGCTAAGAATAGACTTCGACTTAAAGATTTTTTATTAGTTGTTTGTGTTGTTTTTATAGTATTTATTATTTCTCTAACGGAATCCACAAAAAAGTCGTTAAATTTTTCAAAGGTCGCGTGTAAATCGACATACTTGCTACGTTCATCATCAGTGATGTAATCTGTCGAACAATTCCTGAAATTTTTTATAGAATAAGTCAAATTTCTCGTCATCTGCACCAACACCGTCAAACAAAAACTGCCAGTCCACCCTAGATACTTCCACCTGAAATTCATTTATGTTACTTTCACTTTTAAAACAACGTTTGTAGAAAAAAGACTGAGGAAAGTTGCAAAAAGATATAGATACCATTTGCATAAAATGATCAGAAAAATCACAGGGAATAATTGCTGACTGAAAGAAAGTCAATTGAATATTCGTAAAGATATTGTCGATTATAGACATGGACCCATTATGGATTCGAGAGTATTCGGTTACAGTTTTACTGAACCCGTAACTTGCAAATGTATTTACAATATTAAGAGTCTCGCCTGAATTTGCGTTTTCGAAGTGCACATTAAAATAAAAGCAACAGTAGAACTGGCGATCGAATCTACACAAGTATCAACGCTTCCGGAAGGAGAACGATATAAGCAAACTATTAAAAAAAATTGTCATGAAACCCAATTTCAGAAACAGCGCATTCAAATTGTTTTTCAACACTGGCTACTGCAACAAAATTAAAACCATTGCGAGCACCGCACCACCCCCTTCGAAGATTTTTCGAGAAAAATGTGATGCCAATATATAATTGTTAATATTAAGTAGGGTTATCTCGTCGTAATTGTGGTTACATTTCTGCATATCTCTACACCAAGTTTATGATACACACACAACATCCATAAGTGCTCTTAAGATAGAAGAACGACTTCAAGGTGCAGAGTTTTTTTTTCTTAATATGACAGATCCTAAACTGCCCAGAAGTTTAACAAAAAGTAAATCAATTTTTGCTTAGGTACCTACAATTCTACGAGTTAGCAGTTACAAAAGAGTGCATAAATAGAAAAAATTGAGATATTGCTTGCAGTAGTTTTTCATTCAACGCTAACGTCAACGTGAATCCATAGCCTACTTGTCCTTCATGAACGTTTTTTTGCTCCAACGTTTTACTTGGAAGAAGTATAGCATACTTGCTTATGAAGGATCTTCCTACCATAATTTTCAAAAAATACAAAATGGTAGTCAAATAAACTTATTGCATGAAATAGCGAGATTATAGACTGTAACTAGCTAAAGAAAATAAATCAACTGCAGCAAATTAAAAAAAAAAGAAAATGTTTCTACGAGTGTTTATTCTTTTTTACAAATTGATAAAGGTATCAAATTAGTCATTAATTTGCTGATTATATCGTTATCACTCGCCGGTATTTCCCCCATGGATATCCTTGGCTTAATGTTTACCATTGCCTGTCCTAACGAAATAATTAAAACCACTTAGTGTAAAACTAAAACGGAACTAGTATGATTATTTCGCCAACGTATATTCTTACTTAAAACTGCGGTTTTAATGTGATTTCCTCCATTTTAAACTTTGTTGAAATGGGACTAGTTATTAACACCGTATCTGTCAAGGTACGTTGTTATCACCAGAGAATAATTAATCGTGACGCTAAGTCAAAGGAAGAAGAATCTTCTGTGTTCTTTTGCTCTTAAACGGTTGATACTTTTCAAACCATGTCTCTTAACCAATTTGAACCAACCTTAATTAAAAAAAAAGATAAAACAAATACCAAAATTGAACTAAATCCTAAACTATAATTATACAACCGCTTGCATAAGTTTGCATACAACCCAATAGGCAAACGCCAAATTCTGGCCGACAAAGAGTTTCATTAGAAATATTTGGTCCAAGTTACATCGTTCTATAATAGGAATTTACCACCCAAAATAACAGCGTCAAAAATCCGAACTGTTTTATCGTTTTGTGCAAATACCGCATAGAGTTTGTTATAATGCGAATACGTGACGTCAACCACTGTTCAACGCCTTCAGTGATGGATGATAGAAAGATTAACGGTACTGCGATGTGTATAGGTTTAGTTGGTTTAGTTGGTTATCATGGACGATTGACAATATGCTTTTTTTTTAATTCGACATTACACACCACAAAAATTTGATGAAAACCGCTGAAGCGTTTTGAAGAAATAAATGGGGAAAATGTGTGGCAACGCCGCATACTACGTTAAAATAATTTTAATACAATGTTGCGCTTGGTGTCGATTCGGAGAACTAACCTCCATGTGTACTGTGATGTGTGGACGCTGGTCGTGCGAAACAATCTAAAGGGGATTTACCAAATGACGTCTTTGCGAAAAGTTGTGATAAACTATTGATGACGCATACCAATTTCTGGATCTGCCAGCAAAAGTTCCGCTTGCTTCGAATGTAATAGCAGTAACAGGTAGGCATTACCGTGTTAGGGTTTGATAAATGCTTAAGATTATTGGTATTTTTAGCAGCAGACTTTCAGCTTGGCGACTTCACCATGGATCTAGAAAAACGTTTAAACAAATTGGACGGTAAACTCAGCCATTTCTCGCGCAAAGGAACGAACGGGGAAAAAAATTGGCAGCTGGTTGGTTTTAAAGATAATCTCGCCGTTCTGGGCCCCACAGAAGTCGAAAAACAGCCTCTACTCAAGAAGGTGCAAGTAGATACTGATCCGGATTCTGGGCAAAAGTTCATTAAACTCAATGGAAAGAAGTTGAAGGTGATCTCTCAGGACCAGATCCCCAAAGAAGTGAGAAAAAAAGCGATGCTCGTTAAACACAGGACTATAAACATAGGGAGTTCTGATACTCCGTTGACTGTACGTGTCATTAGTAAAGTGACGCAAGTGAACGCGCAAGCTTTTAAACTTCAAGATCAAGCCACAGATAAGAATAGTGCTTTGAGCACACAAGATAAGGCAAGTCACAAACCCACGATAAATGATCTGAAGTATAAGCACATATGTGCGGCAAAACAACTGGTGAAAGAGTTAGTGAATCCAACGCCGCGTGTTACTTACAAACTCCTGTCAAACAAAACTCTGGAAGTTTTGAACAACGTGAAAATGAAAGCTCTCAATTTATCTCGGAAACGCGGAAATAACAGTGACGTTAATGTGAAAATTGATAAGTGTATTCAAACTGAATTGGGTGCTGTGAAAGAAAGTAGTTGTCAAACGGATCACTTGTTTGATTGTCCAGAACTGCCATTCGGTAATTTAGATTTTTTGTTTGACCTGGATAACTCGGAGGATTCTCCGATTCTCAACAATGTTAGTCTCGGTGTGGGGCCCAAAATTACTCCAATTATGGGAGGAAAAGTAGTGAGCAGTGGTTCGAGTGCTTGTTGGAAAGGACAATCTGTGACGTTAAATTCAAAAAAGCAGTTTTTTGAGGATTTAAATGTGGCGATGATACCAAATGAAAATGGCAACCTGTGAGTATTTTTTTTTATTTGGCATGTGGCTTCCTAATCTTATCAGCCAATTTAAAGAATTAATGTTATTGTTTCCCTTTGCTCGTTGACAACCTGCTTTTTAAAAAAACTCATTTTTCAAAATGAAGTTTTATAAACTTTACAGTAACACAAAAGCAAGTTTAAATGTTTAAAGATTTTTCAACATAAATAAAACTCGTGCTGTGCTAAAATTTCCTTTTTTTAAATTAAAGGTTAATTTAATCTTACAAAACACGCAAAGGAATTGCAGTCCGTCTGATGATAAAAATAAACTGTTTAATGAAAAACTTGATATTTTGCTTATAAATTAGTCATCAATTTGCGGATAATCGTGTTATCACTACAGTGTACTTCCCCAACGCATATTATTTTGCCCATTTTTATCATTTCAGTAAATAAAAATTTTAGCGGACAATTTTTGGCGCTTTTTTGTGAATCACCATTTTAATCTTAATTTTTTTGGAAATTTTCATTTTTCATTTTGGGGTGATAAGTAATCGGCAATGGCTCGTTTAACTAGTTTTCTTAGGTTGGGTTGAGTTATTTTTTAGTTATATAACTTGGAAAATTTTGAATGAAATCAGATTTTTGAATCATTTTTCGGAAGTTTGTCGGATTCCACGGCAATTACAAACGCATTTAATAATAATATGGGTATACATAAAAAGTAAACTGTTTTAAAAGCTATTTTGGAAAAACGTTTTCAAAAGGGACAGGCAAATTATATTTTTTATTTTTTTTTTCTTTCTCTTCAAATTTGTTTATCTTATAATTTATGAGAAATATTTAAAAGAATACATTATAAATGTACACATCGCACGAAAATTATTATAAATTTGAAAATTTGAGGTTATACTGCAAAATCCTCCTCTTTACTTTATTTTTGTTCTTCTTTTCTTTTACTTCTATTTTACTATATTTTTTATTTTTCAACTGGGAAAATATTGGGAGGCGGCTCTCTTATTTTGGATTATGTCACTTGCGTGACGTAAGGTGTTGATTTTTTTTTACAATTTTCAGGCCAATTCACGTGGGAGTGTTGACCAACAATGTGGATTTGGTCAAACGGATGTGTGTCGTCCTGAGGGCGAGGAAAATTGACGTCAACGTTGAAAATCACGACGGTTGCGTAAGTAATTGATTTTTCATGCCCAATCATACAGGGTGTTCCAGATATCGATACCCGGAACTCGCAAAGGCGGTTAAAGCAAATAATTTTTTTTGTCGTCTCTTCTTTTTTATAATAAAATAAAACGAAGAAGATAAAGAAGTCTAACACTTTTCCACAATTGCACAAATAAACGGTAATAATCACATTTTTATTCGTATTTAAATGTTGAGATTAATAATAATAAAAACTCCTTTTTTCGGATTTGACTGATTTTGAAGAATATTTTTTAACTTTTGTGGGAAATTTGTCTTATTCTCCAGTAATTAAAAAAATATTTATTTAAAAATATTGATATTTATAATAAATAAAATATTTTGAAACATATTTCGAAAAAATTAACAGAGAATTATCTCAATCGATGTTAAATTCAATTCAGTATATAAGTTAAACAAACAAAGGTTAATAATAACAATAAATAAATGTTTTTTCCAGTTTCCATTTGACCTATTTTAACAAAATAAGATTTATTTATTTAAAAATATGGGTGTATGTAAAAAATACCCGGTGTGAAGCCTATTGTGAAAAAAGTATGAGAGAATTGTCTTAATCGTTGTTAAATTCAATTCAATATATAAATCACACCAACAAATATGTTCATAATTCTTAAAACCGACCCAAAAATTATATTTTAAATTTTTTCTCTTTCTCTTCAAATTTATTAATTAAATAATAAGGTGGTGGTACATTAGAATAAAAATAAAACAAGAAACATCGATTTATTACTAAAATTAAAATTCCTCATAAAAAAAAATTATTCATAGATACACACATTGATACTTATATTGCAAAGTACAAAATACAAAATCTGACAGTGCATTGACGAAATATTTTTTGCAATTATATATATATATATATATATATATATATATATATATATATATATATATATATATATATATATATATATATATATATATATATATATATATATATATAACGCAATTAATAATTCGGCATTTAAACTTGGGCAACATACAATTCTTAAATTTTAAAATTTTCCCAAAAATATGTTTAAAAATGGAAACACTTGAGTTTCTGATTTATACAAAATACGACATTAGTGAAATTGCCTATCACAATTTTTTCTAGAGTGCAAGTGCTTTTTTTAACTTGACTAATTAAATTATTTACCAATGGACACTGGTGTCTTATACATTCTGCTACCCTATTGATATCACGAGCTAAATAAGTAACATGGAGTGCAGCATTCCATAAAAGGAGTATAAATTTTTCTGTTGCACATAAATTGTTGATTTTGTCCAATTTTTCGATTTCAAGTAAGTACTTTTGTATATCTTACTTACTTACTTATTAAAATTTTCTATTATACCGAAAAAAAATTTTGTTTTCTTTACTAAATACTAAACATCAATAATGAAAAACGAAAATAATTCAAAAAAGTAATAAAAATGAATAACAAAATTAAAATTTAAAATCGAATCGAAGCTCTATATGGCGAAATTGAAGGGACTGCTTTTTTTTTTCTTTGTAGAGAGTTCCAATTGTATTTTCACCATTTCTTCCATAGGGGCATCTTAACCATGATACATAAAAATGTCTCTAGCAGCCTAACTGAATATAGGGCTTGTTGAATGGTGGTGGTGGTCCCAGATCAACTTCCTCTTCCTCTTGTTGCTCTTTCTCGTCCTTTTTTGCTTGTTGTAATGTGGCTTCGTCTGTCAAGTTTGCTGTTGTAGGCAAATCCTTATCTATCACCATAAAATCTTGCAACTCCTCACTCGTAAACGTAATTGTTGTTTGAAACTGCTTTATCCGCTCGCTTAGTGGGTGATCATCTTCCAAGTTCTGTTCGCATTCTGTCTCGGTAATAAGTCCTGCATGACGATAGGAATGTTGAATTGTTGCTGCTGTCATCTCTTTCCAAGCTTTACAATAAGGTTGACTGCATCTAGCATATTAATGGAAAATTTGTCTTCAAACTCGATCATTTCCATTAAAATGTTTTTCCTGTATCAACTTTTAAGACTTTTTATTACGCTCTGGTCCATCGGCTGTAATGCACTTATTGTTTTGGCAGGAAAAAATGCCAATTCAATATTCCAGGGATTTCGAATATGGGAATGTGCAGGGCAGTTATCTAAGAGAAGTAATATTTTCCTCCCATTTAATTTTGCATCCCATTTCCGTATCTCCTCTTCAAAAATTTGTGATGTCATCCATGCAGACCTGTTTGCCTTATAATTGATCGGCAAATGCTCCATGTTCTTAAAACATTGATTTTCCAATCACGACTAGCTTTCTTTTTTCTCTCCCACTCATATTGGCAGCTACTTACGCGGTTATATGTTCTTTAGAAAGTTTTCCAGCCACACAGTTGATCTGGCGTCATTAAAAAAAAAAAAGTTTTGTCGGAATTAAAAATGTCGTCAACAGGGTACTTTTCTGCTAGTTTTGGACACGCTTCTCCAGCCAATGGTTAGTGACGTTTCTGTCGACATCGCGGGCTTCGCCACTTATCTGTCCATAATTTATACCATGTGTCTGTTTGAACTTCTCCAACCATCCTTCCGAAGCCTTGAAATTGATAGTGAGGGAGCGGATAAAGCAGTTTCAAACAACAATTACGTTTACGAGTGAGGAGTTGCAAGATTTTATGGTGATAGATAAGGATTTGCCTACAACAGCAGACTTGACAGACGAAGCCACATTACAACAAGCTGTTCAACAAACTTTTCTGCTTTTAGTTTTACGATAGGTCCAAAGAGTGGTACACTTTTAAGACGTTCCTGTTGGAACCACTGCAACATTGCTCGATTCAAATCTTCAAATTTTGGCTTTCTTAGTTTTTTACTAGAACTGCCTGCCGCTTCAGCCTGAATAATTTGTTCTTGGCACTTCCAAATCGTGGATGCAGTCGACGGTGTAAGTCCCTATCGACGTCCCACATCACTTTTATTTTCTCCCCGTTCTATCTCCCGAATGAAAGCAACTTTATCATCTAGAAATAAAATTTTTCGCTTACTCGCCATGCTCGCTGTATTCACTAAGTCAAATTAGAATTGATTGAAACAATGGTGTGCTTTTATACATACCAATAAAGGCATTAACCTAATAGCTTATTACGAGATAAACATTTAGGGCGACTATTAGATTATCAGGGTATGGAATTCTGATGTGCCTTTTTTTCTTTCGGTATAGAGAGTGAGAAATTCGTTATAAAGAGTGGATTAATACATAATTTGTATGGAGATCTAATAGTACAACAAATTTTGTACGTTATACGGTGTTTCGCTATAGCGAGTTTTCACTGTAATTAGACTTTCTTCTTTTATTCATATTTTAGGTTAGGTGGTTGGGCCCTTATTTGTATCTACGTTTTTCGGCGATTATATCAGAGAACTTCACCCAGCCTCTAGCAACATCGCAATCGTCATGGGCAATATCAGAAAGTTTCGTAGTAACCAAAATGCCTCGCCTTTAATTTATTTCCTTTACTATTTGAAGACGCTTCAATTAATGAAAGGTGCTGAAAACACCAACAAAATTTTAGCAATACGTCACCATTTGACGAATACTTGATAATATGACAAATTTACAGTCGCATATTGTTTATCTTGATGCGTTGGCCCAATCCAATAAATGTTATTATATTGCGCAATATTTACCGTTTCGATTCTGCTCCAAATACAAGTAAACAAGGCGGATTCGTCGATGTTGTGTTGTCATTTGGCTTGAAATATTTAAAAAATGAACGTACCCTTACATCGGTGCCTGTAGATTTGGCGAAAAATGTTGAGCAATACTTTCCGAGAACAATTTCCTATTATTATTGTGACGGTCCGTCCCGAAATACCTGGATGGTTCGATAAGGTTTTGTGGAAAATATTTTGCGGGTTTTATCCACACGTGCGTGATCACTGGAAAAACCCTTTTGAGATTATGATTGCGGAATTTGCTAATATTTTTCTTAACGCCTTACTAAAATTAAGTTGCCGGCCTTGGAACGAGAGTTTTCGAGATTTTGTCCGTAAAATCTTCCGTTTATTATTCAGTAACTTATTGATTGAATTTCATCTTTTGAGTGTTTATAAAAAAGTGCATGAAACATATCTTGTATTATTGAAATGCATCCTTTACGGGAAAAAATCAGCAGTCATTCACATAAGTCGAAAAGTAAAAAAGATATATTTTTCCACTATCGACCTCTAACAGCAACGTTCAAATAAGTTTAAAATTTCGTAGTAGTCATGTTAAAAAAAAAGTTTCATATAGCATTATATTCTAAACACGTTTTCAAATAATGAGAAAATTCAGAAGATGTGCGTTGTAATATAATACAGCAATATAGCAATAATTTTGGTCAGAGCATATAGCAATTACAGTGTCAAATAAAGCACACAGCTATAAATTTTGTAAAAGCACATAGCAATTACAACGTCAAATAATGCACACAGCAATACTTTTTATGATACTACACAGCAATTACAACATCAAATTCAGTACACAGCAATAATTTGATGAATAGCACACAGCTATAATTTTTGCAATATCACATAGCAATTACATCAAATAAAGCTCACAACAATAATTTTTGTTATAGCACACAGCAATTACCGCATCAAATTAAGCACACAGCTATATTTTTAGTTATAGCACACTGCAATACTAACGTCAAATTAAGCACACAGCAATAATTTGACGGATAGTACAGAGATATATTTTTTGTAATAGTACACAGCAATTACTAAAGTCTAAATTAAGCACACAGCAATAATTTAACAAATAGCACAGAGCTATATTTTTTATAATAGCACATAGCAATTACGACGTCAAATTAAGCACACAGCGATAATTTGACAAATAACACATTTGTCAAATTATTACAATTATTACAAGGCAACTACAAAAGTCAAATTAATCTTACAGCAATAATTTGACAAATAGCATACCAGCTATATTTTTTGTAATAGCACGCAACAATAATTTAACAAGTAATA